CCATTTGATAGCTGGTATGTTAAGTGCATTTTCTACTTACAGTATTTTCTTTTTATGAAGCCTTTATCAAGAGACAGAGTAAGTTGAAAAGTTGAGATTTATCATGAGGAATTGGAGTTGGCTTACAGATAATGTAGTTGATGAGTCCTAAAATCTGCAGGAGGGTAGATACCAACTGTCAGTGTGAACACTGCGGGCTCAAGGCCTGGGGAGAGCCCGTGTTTCCAATGAGACTAAAGGCACTGATGTCCCATTTGTCAAGCCAGAAGTGCAAATTCTCTTTTCTGTTGTTTGCTGAGATAGAGTCTTGGTATGTGGTCCACACTGGCCTCCAACTACAGCAGTCTTCCTGCCTCAGCCTCCCGAGTGCACTGGCAGTCAGGCCTTCCAGCCTGCATCTCCAGGGGCCTCTGTGGCGTTTACCTAAGGCTCTGCAGAGAGAGCCAGGAGGGGCAGAGGCCCCCTGGAGAGGTCCCGGCCCTCCTGTGTGTCCGGGAGGTGACTGTGCAGAGCGTCCCCGAGTGGGCCTTGGAGGGCTGTGTCCAGGCCTGGCCCTCCGCATGGTCTTACCCCAGTTCTGCCTTCTGAGCCAGGCGTGGTTCACTCTCGGTCAGGTGAGGGCATAGCTGTCACTCGCAATGAGAGCATGGGGGTGGGGGGAGATATTTTTATTTAGATGTCAGACTAATGCAGAAAAAAAGAATAAGGTAATGAATATTCACTATCAGCCATCACGGTACAAGGCGTGATGTTTTTGCTCATTTTTTCCCCCACAAAATCAAACCTTACAGATAAAGGTGAATCTGCCCAGCCCCTTACCCCCGGGATCTATGTTCATTGTGGTGCCTTCCCTTCCCTCTGTAATACTCCGATGAGCATTTCCCAAGCTGCTTTTTAAAAATCAAAAAATTGTTGTGGCCAGAGTCTAGCGCTTGCTGGGTGAGCCTCTGCCACTGGGCCTCCCCCAGCGCACTTCCTGGGTGATCTCGCCAGCCTGCCACACCCTCTGTGAGGAAGGCCGGCCGGGTGGGAGGCTGGCAGACCAGGACACTGAGTCCTGAGGGCACGTCGTGCTGGCCTCTGTGGTTCTCTGTGCCTCTGGACAGTACCCCGAAGCCGGGACCCTCACTGGGTGGGGGCAGCTGATTGAGAAGAGTAAGGCTCCTGGTAACAGGATCCTGGCTCAGTGTACCTCAACGCCTCGGGTAGATGGTTGGGTGAGCGTCCCGCCCAGAGGCAGGGACCTGCCGGAAAGACACGAGACCTGAGACAGGGTACTGGGTAGGGCGACGTGGCGAGGCCCTAGCTGGGTGCCACATTATCGTCTTCCTTTTTTCTTCTATATTTTATCTCCTTTTTTAGAGCTTGCTTAGGTTTATGGCAGAGTGGAGCAGAGAATGCAGGGAGAGTTTCTGTGTCCCCTGCCACCCTCCCAGACCACCTCCTCACTGTCACCTTCCCACCACAGCAGTGTCTTTGTCATAAACCATGACTGTACATGGAGACACCATGGTTCCCCAGAGGCCATGATGGCTTGATTTTAGTGCTCTGCGGGTTTGCGCAGATACACAACGGCATGATCCACCAGCATGGGATCACTGTGTCGGTCCCCTTTCTGTTACTCTAACAAAGCCCTGAGGTAATCAACTGAAGAGGAGGAAAGGTTCATTTTGGCTCATGGTTCTGGAGGTTCCAGTCCATGGTTGGTCGGCCCTGTCACTTTTGGGCCTGTGGTGACACGGTACGTGGTGGCATAGCATGTGCACAGGACACTGTTCATTCCATGGTATTAAGTGAAAAGAAGTAAGAGGAGAGCTGGGGTCCCTTCAAGGCTGTACCCCAATGCCCTAACTTCCTTTCACCAGCTTTCCTTGTCCTAAAAGTCCTACCACCTTCTAGTAGTGTCCCAGGCTGGGCAGCACGTCATCAACATGGGGGCTTTGGGTGCATTCAGGATCCAAACTGCTGCAGTCACACTGGCTGGTGTCACTGCCCTACACCCTCTGTGCTCCCCACCTGTATCCCTCCCCTTGTTCTAATCATAATTTCCCCCCTGTGGTCTCTCTCCGTTCTCTGACCCAAGCCAGAATCTCTCTTGGCATTTTCTTTTTGTCCCTCTGATCAGTGTGAGTTTTCTAGTTTGTTCTCATTTGCACACTGTGTGTGTGTGTGTGTGTGTGTGTGTGTGTGTAGTGGAAAAAAATCTTAGGACTCCAGAGCTATTACTATTAAACAAGAGCGCATTTCCAGCTCAGTGTGAGCCCCTTTTCACAGTTACCTGCTCTGTTCTCTTCCCTTAGTCTCTGAAATGCTGTTTTCTCAGAACGCCTCCGTGAGGCCGTGGCGTGTGCATTTCCTCCAGGGTTTCACTTTCTTTCCTGAACTGGCGTGGGGTTTGTTTGCAGCTCATTTTCAGTCCAGATGGCTGATGCTTCTCCAGGCTTCCTGCCGGCAGCTCAGTGCATAGCTGGGCTGGCTGTGTCACCGGCGGGCGCTGCCTGTGCCTGTGAGACTGGAGATGTCGGATCAGGTGTGTTTCACACCATGGCTTGTTTTGTTTTTGTTTTTCATCTTGGGGTTTGAACCTAGGGGTGCTCTAACCACTGAGTCACGTCTCAGTCTCTCCCAGTTTATTTTGCAGTACTAAGGCCTTCACATTTCACTACCCCCACCCCTTTGAGATGGGGTCTTGCTAAATTGCATAGAGTGGGCTCAAGCTTATGATGGATTATAGGCCTGTGCCACTGTGCCTGGTTTTTTTTTTTTTTTTTAATTTTGAGATAGGGTCTTACAAAGTTGTTCAGGTGGGACTAGAACTTGTCCTCCTCCTGCCTCAGCCTCCTTCAGTGCTAGGATTACAGGTGTGTACCACCATCATCACACTGTTGCTTTTTTTTGGCGGGGGAATGTATTGGGAATCGAACTCATGACCTCAGGCTTGCCAGGCAAGTGCTTATGCTGCTGAGCTATGTTCCCGGCCCCACACCATTGCTTTTTAGCACTAGCAGTTTTGACAGATTTCCTCCTGAGTAATCTAGAACATCCGTGTTGTGGTGAGTTTAAGCAAAGGTTGGGTAAGGACACAGACTCCAGGGTGCCCTGTGCTGAGTTGGCCCCCAATGGACGTGTGCTGGCCACTCTGCTCAGTGGGTGCCTGTCCCTGGGATCCTGATCACTGTACTCTCATCCTTAGGGCTCAGAAGTCCTGGCTGCTCCCACCTTAGAGGCTTTGCCTGCTGGTCCCCTGGCCTGAACCCCCAGATCTTAGTGGTGTTCACTGAGGCTTCCCAGGCACCCTTGTACAGATGGCAGTAATAGCAGGCATTCACTGGGCTGTCTGTGCTGTGTCTGATGGACTCCACATTCGTGCTCATGTCCTATGACCGAGGACTGGTGTTATCCTGGGTTGTGTTGAGTGCCGTTATGGTTTAGACCTACAGTGTCCCCTAAGCCCCACGGTGTGCAGAGGTGGGGCCTGGTCAGAAGAGGTGGGACACTGGGGTGTGGCCTAGACGGGTGCCTTCTCATCCCAGGCTCCTCCCTACTTGCTCTGCTCCATAACTGCCATGCTGTGAGCAGCTTTACTCTGCCAGACCCTTCGCAATGCTGTTTCTACCTCAGAGCTGGCCAGTCATCGGCTGAACCCACTTAAACTGTGACCTAAAATAAACCTCTCCTTCTTTAAGTTGCAAGTATTGGGTATTTTGTGCCTGTGATAGGAAAGCAGCTAATGTAAATCACTTTTTTTGTAGTTGGGACAAAATCTATGACATATTTATGCCAAAAGAAGAGAAATGGTTACAGAGGGTTCATTCTAGAAATGGTTACAGAGGGTTCAGTCCATGGGCAACTGGATCCAAGGTAGAAACATCATGACACAAGGGCTTGGTGGAGCAAAGATGCTCACCTTATGGTAGGCAGGAAGCAGAGCACAGGGGGGAGAGCCCGAGAAGAAGGGGCCAGGGCTTATAGTCTACAAGGTCACACCCCCATGACCCACTGAGGCAGTCACAGAAGTGTGCTTTATTATCATCTCAAGCTGATCAAGTCACCAGTGAAGATTAACTACCACAGTGAGAACCCAGGTAGGGTTCATCGCATGGGAAACCTTCTTGCACTACCCTGTTTCATTTACTGATGTGTTCATCTCCCTTTCTCTGTACTAGAGAAACATTCACCATCAGCATTCAGGAGGCACAAGGGATTCTTACCCTGTGTGCACAGGACCTTGTGATAGTGTTGTCATTACAGTTTCTGGTCTCCAGGACCTGTAGAAGCTATCTGGGGAAGGAGGATGATGTCAGGGTGCATACTGTGCCCCTACCCTGGGCTGTCAGTCATTCCCTCCTCACCCTAGCAGTCACCTTATAGGACACTGTGAGAGGCTTTCCTGCTGACAGAGAGTTATGGAAGTCCCCTTAGCTGCTGTGACACCTTCCTTAGTTTCAGGTACCCATGGTCTACTGCAGTCTGAAAATGTTAGATGGAGAAGTCTAGAAATAAGTAATTCAACTTGTAATCTTAAGTAGCTTCTATTACTGTGTATTGTTACACTTGTTCTGTTTTATGTTATTGTCGATCTCTTCTGTTCCTAATTTACAAATTAAACTTTATGGCAGAGATGATGAATAGGAGGAAACACAGTCTAGGTAGGATTAGCCCTATTGACCATTTCAGATACCCACTGGAGTCTAAGAATGTGTCCCCTGCAGATACAGGGCTGTTGTCCCTCTCTGTAGAGCAGTCATGAATGTCCATTCCTAGCTGTGGACTCTCCAGCTCGATTTGCCCTGTGTAGTGGCCACTGCCCTCAAGGGCCAGGTGTCTTGCCCAGCTGGGTCCCCTTTCTCCTCTGAGAATATCTGAAGCTGGTGTGTGACCACTGTGCTGTGTTTGAATCCAGGGCAGCACCGCAAGTAGGGAGCTGTGGCTCTGGCTTCTAGCCAAGCCATGCCTTGCAGCATAGCTCCAGAGAGTGAATTCTCGTTTTTTCTCCACAGGTTGTCCACCCGACCGGAAGTGGCCAGCATAGAGCCCCTGGGCCCCGATGAACGTCAGTGCTCCCAGAAAGCTGTGGTGCAGGCCCGGCTCACACAGCCTGCTCGGCTCACCAGCATCATCTTTGCCGAGGACATCAGTAAGGGTTTGAGTGCTGTGGGTGGTCTCTGAATGGGTTGGGGGTGAGGGACAGGGAAATACTCCGTTGAGACCAGTGGCCATCAGAGCTGCTGTAGTCCAATCAGTGCCCATCCCATCCCTCACACCTGCGTGTGGCTTCCTAATTTCTAAAGGATTTTTGGTTGACTGGTAGCAAGGTGAATAAAGTTGCCTCAATCTAGGACACTACTCTTTGTGCTCCGCCATATTTACTGTGTATGGTTGTAAAATGCAGTTGCCCTTCAGTATCTGTGAACGATTGGTGACAAGCCCCCTCCAGTACCAAAATATGTCAAGACTCAAGTCATATACATAAAAAGCCATGATACATACAACCTATGTACATCCTCCTGTATATTTTAAAGCATCTCTAGATTACATATAATACCTAATACAGAAGGAAAATTGTACTTTATTGTCAGGAAATAATGAGGAAAACATCTTCACATGTTCAACACCAGTGGAATTATTTTTTGAATATTTCCAGTCTGTGGTTGGTTGGATCTGAGAATCTGGAATGCAAGATTGCAGAGACCCAGCTATACTTACAGAACAACATAATGTTCTCTCATGGTTTCCCGCACCTACCTTGATATGCTTTCTATTTTACTATAGAATTATTATTATCATTGTCCTTTGGTATATATGCTGAAAAAGGCCTTGCACATGCTAAAGGAGGGGTCTCCCTCTGAGGAGCACCCCAGCCCCTGCCATAGGACTGTTTTAATGTTTCTAACAGGGTATTGTCCTATAATCATTCCCATATATCAGACATTTTGAATGTTTTCAGATGTTCCTTTGAGGGTTATATGCAAAAACAAATCTGTTTAATACAGAGAGTTCTTTTGGGGTTCTTCTGCTAATTTCCCTCCCAGGATAGTATCCCTGTTCTACTGGATCATAGTATATGAAATTAATTTTTTGAGTTGGGGCTTCACTGTCATGCCCAGGCTGGGCTCTAACTCCTGGGCACAAGGGGTCCTCCAACTTCAGCCTTTTGAGTAGGCAAGACTATAGGCACGGCGTGTACCCCAAGTATGTGTATGGCTTCTGACACACAGGGTCATGTTACCCATGGACCGAACCCTCTGTAACCAGTGCACAAGTATTTATATATGGTGCCTGGAGAATGATCAGAATAATTTGGTATCACATGCTGCCACCCTACACTTAAAGAATTCTCTAGGTCATGCCATTTCTATGTCTTACTTAGGGAGCAAGTGGATGTGTTCATGTATCCCTTCAGTAGTGTAGCTGATAAAAGCATCAGCATAAATAAGAAGCAAGCAAAGATCAGTGCAGTCCCTAATCTCAGTGTAGACACAGCACTTTCAAACAGGATTATCTTCTTTTAGATGCTAAGTTCTCATACTCATGTAACTTCCTGATTACACTCTGAACAAATCTACAGGCAAATTGTAATCACCCATGATGGGCAGTGGAAACATCCCAAGCTTTTCAGCCCTGAGGACTCAGGTGGATGTCCCCAAGGGCTGAGTGCTCAGCGGGTACCTGGAGTCCCAGGGTGAATTCAGCTCTCCAAGTCCCGTGATAGTGTTGTTTTGTTGGCTGCTCTAGTCTCTGCCAGAGAGCAAGGCCATCTGGAATTTGAGGCCCCCTGAGGTGGGGTGGTGGCCAGCCACTGTCTGCCCTGCTGACCCCTCTCCTTATCCCTGCAGCCACGGGCCAGGTACTGCGCTGCGATGCTATTGTTGATCTCATACACGGCATTCAGATTGTGTCCACCACCCGTGAGCTCTACCTCGAAGATTCCCCTCTGGAGCTGAAGATTCAGGCCCTGGACTCGGAAGGTGAGCACATACCCCCTCCCCCATGACCTCTCTCTTGGTCACTGTGTCCTCTCACATCCAGCTCTGTTGCTCCAGCCAGGAAGGAAAAATTGGTGCCAGGGGTGAAGCTGAAGGGGTAAAAAACGCAACCAAGGTGGGACTTGTGCTCTTGGAGGCATCAGATCACAGCCCTTCTGTGCACTTTGTGTCCCCAAAGCCTGGTCTGTGCACTTGGGGATGTAGTCGACCCTGGGGTGGGCTCATGCCTGTGCGCAGCAGCGGCTTGGTAGAGCCTGCTCAGGAAGCCCATGTTCTGGGCAGTGGTACCACGTGGGTTTGGCTGGCTGGTGACCACATTGTGACAGTGGGAGCTGTTCTCTTGCTTGGCTTTCAGGCTGGTCTTAGCCACCTGGCCAGGCTTTTGAAGGCATGTGTATGTGTGTGCGTGTGCATGTGCGTGTGCGTGGACCGGCCAGAGAGGTACCTGTGCACTGCCCTCTCAGCACCCTATCCTCCCCTCCACCCAGCAGCATCAGATGCCAGCTTGTTCTGGGCTGCAATTCTCCTAGGTAGCCTCCTCTGGTGATCAGCATACTATGTGGGCTGCAGCCTGACCTCTTGGTAAGCAGAGTGAGGGACTGTGCTTACTTTCTGTTGCTGTGACCGAAACTTGAAGGAAGAAGGCTCGCGGTTTCTGAGGTTTCAGTGCCTGGTTGGCTGGCTCTGTTACTTGTAGGCAGGAGGGGAGGATAACATCACAGCAGGAGCCATGGGTGGCAGGGTTGTTCATGTTGGCCAGGAAGCAGGGCAAAGAAGAAGGGTCTTGGTCCCCTTAGAGGACACTCTCCACCCACCAACAGAACTTCTTTCCGTTAGGCACCATCTCTTGAAGCTCTGTCACCTCCCAGTAGGACCACAGATTGTTGGTGGGGTCTTTGGGGGATGTTTATCCAAACCCTAACAGGGCACTCAGTGGGTGGAGATTCTTGTGGCAAGAAGCAGAAGTCAGGGAAGAGATGTTTCTCGGAAGATCCCCAGACTCCAAGCCCGGACCAAGGATCACCTTTTCTTCAGACCCTTTCCTGACTATTCTGACTACTGTGTTTTTTTTTTTTTTTTTTTTAAACTTTCTTGTTTATTTTCTTGGCCTAGGCAGTATGGTTGGCACTTTGGGCAAGAGCATCCTCCTAGAAGTATCCGCCCAGCGCAGTGTAGGATGTTTAGCACGTCCCTAGGCGCTGCCTGCTGAGTGCAGAAGGGATTCCCCAAGTCAGTACAGTCAAGGTTGTCCCCACATGTGGCCACGTTCCCTGGCAGAGAGAGAACAAACAACTGGTTTTGAGCATTTGCCAGACCTTTCCTTCCTCCGTGGATTCATTTCTCAGACGAGCTCCTTAGCCTTTCTGGCAGTGTTTCCTCGTTTGGGGGGCTGAGACTGAGATGCTTGATACGGTGACCGCAGGACGTGTGGAGAATCTATAGCCAGCTTAGCGTTGTGTGGGTGCTCAGTAACAAAGGGAGCTTCCCTGAGCGCTGTCTGTAAGTGGGTACTGTCCAGGAGCCAAGGATGCGGTGGGGCACAGAAGGGCCTAGCCCCTGCCTCAGGTCCTCAGACTGTGGAGTAGGCTCCATGTAAACAAACCCACATTCATACATGTGGGTTGAGCCTCTCATCTGAAAATAAGGATCTAAAATGCACCAAAATCTAAGTTGTGTGTGTTTTATTAGGGTGTAACCAAGGGGGCCTGCACATGCCAAGCAAGGGCTCTACCACTGAGCTATAGCCCCAGCCTCTTTGCAAATTTATTATACAACACAGACTCACTAAGTCACCCAGGCTGGCCTCAAACTTGTGATCTGCCTGCCTCAGCCTCCCAAGTAGCTAGCATTACAGGCATGTGCCACCACTCCTGGTTTATCCTAAACTCCTTGAAGTACTCAAAAGGTCTGTGCAAAGATCCCCGAATTGGAGAAACTTCAAAATCAGAAACTTGTGGTTCCAACAGTTTTGGATAAGAGCCGATCAACCGTAGTTGGGTGCTCTTCATAATCAGTGCATGGAGACTGTGGAGCAGGGTGGGGCCGAGCTCAGGGAAGGCTGGAGGCAGGGTGTGGAGGACAGAGGTCAGGGCACGTGAAGACCTGCGCTGGAGGCGAGCCCAGAGGACTGCGGCTGGCCAGGTGGGAGGGGTGTGGAGAGGGCAGGACGCAGGACAGGAAGTGTCCTCGGGTCAGCTGGCAGTTCGCCCTCAGTCTGAAGCAGAGGGGAGCTGAGGAAGGGCAGTGTGTAGTGAGGAGATAGATGCTCCCTGGTGGGATCTAGGTGGGTCACTGGCTGTTCTTGGGAGCAGAAAGACCAAAGCCAGACCCTAGTGGCAGGCATTCTTCAGGGGCACTTTATGTGTCCTGGCACAGTTCATGTTTCCACGGTGGAAGAAACGTGAAGGCACGGAGTGAATACAGTCACACACTCTTATGCACGTATGTGTGTGCATGTGCACCCACATAGAACAGGCATGTGGTTAATATGGAGCAGAGCCAGCATCTGAGCTCCAAACCAGCCGAGAGTTCACCCTTTTGGCCAGAAGTCACCCATTTTGTTTTGCAAAGGGCTGGAGAGTGAATGTCATCCCGCTTTGGTGGCCATGCTCTCTCTGTTGCCCGTGTTCAGCTCCACCATTGCAGTTCCAGAGCAGCCGGGGCAACGTGTGTCAGTGAATAGATGTGTTCCTGTTCTAATAAAGCTTTATTTATAATATTAGACAGCAGGCCACATTTGGCTTCAGGGGCCACAGTTTACCAGTTTTTGCTCTTGACCACTCTGCTCCATTTCCAAATTTAAGTCACTTAGAATTATTCTTATTGAGGTTTATACACCATGAAATTCAACCTTTTAAAGTGCACAGTTTGGTGGTTTTCTGGTGCACTCACAAAATTGTGCAATCATCTCTGTCTCATTTTAGAACTTTCTTATCAGCACAAAAAGAAACCCAAATAACAGTCACTCTCTCATTCTCGTCTCTCTCCAGCCCCTGTAGCTGCCATTCTACTTCCGGTCTCTTTCCATTTCCCCATCTGGACCTCGCATATAAGAATCCTTCGACACAAACAGCCCTACTTTCATGCAGCCTTATGTGACTGGCTTCCTTCTCTGTGCCTGTAGTAACCTGTAGGCACCACATTCCTTTCTATTGAAAAAGAATATTCCGTTGTGTGGATGGACTGTAGGTTGTTTTTCCCTTCACAGTTGGTAGACCTCTGGTGGTTTTCACTTTTGGACTGGGATGAGCAGTGCTGGTGCGGACATTTGTGGACGAGTCTCTAGCAGATGTGTTTTCAGCTGTATTTAGATACCTGTGGGTAGGATTATTGGGTCACATGAAAACTCTCTGCCGAACTCAGGACTGCCACCCTCTTTACAAAGTGGCATCACCATGTCACATTCCCCCAGCTGTCAGAGACAGTGCTGGTTTCTTCAAGTTCCTGCTAATACTTGTTATTGTCCCATCTTCTTGAGTCTAGTTATTTGCAAGTCACTTTACTCCCAGGGTACACCTTTCTCTCCTGGTGGTTAGAGATGTCAGAGCAGGAAGGTGACTGCCTTTGGCCTCCGTGGGCCCATTGATTTGCCACAGCAGATGCCCAGTGGCCCTTGGTGGTGACCCTCCTGCAACTCCTGAGGTTTTGGGGGCACGTGGATCCATTCCAGAGTTGGAGGCCAGCTGGTCTCTAGAGACACCCAGGTCAAGACCCCACCTTTGCAGTACAAAAATGGTGACTCACTTTGTTTTTGTTCACTGGGAAGGGTTCCCACTTTCTGGTTGGCCTTCCTTGCCTTGAAATACTGTGACCAATACCTCCATCACCCCTTTTGTCTTTTTCTGGAGCCTGTGACCTCTTTATTGGTTAAAAGTCACTTTTGTGAAGGTGGGCTTGACCCTTGTAAGCTTTGGGGACCTCGCCATCTGAGAGGGGATGTTCCTTATTTACACTGGTGTACACTTGTCAGAAGCGGCTCTGTCACCCAGCAGACATCGTTAGGTGGGTGCCTGAGTATGCCAGGCACTGGGCTGGACCCATTTCAATGCATTCTCTCACCCCACAGGCTGGGTGCTGTAATGCCCTTTGTATAGGCCAGGACACCAAGGCCTAGACAGTTTGTTTATTTGGGTCGCAACCCACAGATGGCTGAGCAGGGGCTGGGGCTGGAGATGTCAAGTTCTGTCACCACTCAGCCTGGTACCTGCCTCCTGCTGCTGGGTTTTTCCTGCGCATTGGTGCCCTGGGCCACAGTGCCATTGCAGGCCTGGACCTACCTGCTATACTCTGAGTCTAGTGTGTTCTCTTGAAGCTCACCTTGAAACTCGTCCCTCATGCAAGAGTGTGAGGGACAGTGGGTCCTTGCAGAGGTGATTAGGGCTTGGGTGTGGCTCAGCCGTGCAGCTCTTGTCCCATGTGCACAAGGCCTTGGGACCACCCCCAGAAGAACAAGGGAAAAACAACGGGGATGAGGTATTTAGGGGGTGTGTGCAGTTCTTACTGGGCTGGATGACTTGCCTAACGTGAAGGCCTTTACTTGTGTTTTGTCTCTTCTGCACGTACCCGGCACGGGTGCCTGCCCACACTGCTCGCACATACCATCCCCCTTCTCCTTTTGCTCTGCTGCTGTGTTAAAACACAAATTGACACCAAGTCCGAGCCAGATGTGGCAGCCCCATATTGGGTTCCAGTCTCCAGATCCGTGAGCGTCATAAAACTGTTTCCTTTATAAATTACCCAGTGTGATAGGCAGCCTTCCCTTACCGTGACGAAAAAGAGGGTGAACTTGAGGAAAGGTTTATTTGGGCTCACAGTTTCAGAGAGGTCCATCCATGGCTGCTTGGGCCTGCTGCCTTGAGCTCAGTGCGTCATGGCGGCAGGGCATGGTGGAGGAGGCCAGTTCCCCTCATGGAGCCTGGATGGCAGAGAGAAGGGTGAGGGCTGCAGTCCCAGTATCCTCCTCAAGAGGTGCCCCCATGAACTCCGTTTTCTGCTCCCAGGCCCACCTCCTGAACCACTGCCTCCCGCCAGTGCCAGAGGCTGCAATGGAGTCGTCTGCATGGCCTTTGGGACATTCAGGACTCAACTGTAAGACGCAGACTCAGGTGTTGTGTTAGCAGCAACCGACACCGCCCCCGCCCTCGCCCTGCTTAGGCTGAGGCTATTTGCAGAGTGACTGCCTTGAGTCCATGTTTCCAAAATTATTTCCCAGCCCTCATTGCCCTGTGCACTGGCAGAGCTGGACCAGTGCAGGGTCGCTAAGTTTAGCCCTTGGTGGGTAGAATCGGGTCAGTTCACTTTTCTGGACGCTTCTCTGTTTGACACTGGACTTTGGGTCCACCAGGCGTCCAATAAATGTTTGTCCAGTTGGGTTGCTTAATGCTCTTTGTGGTGTTCCTGGGACCAAGGCAGAGGTGTGTCCTCTGGAGCCTGGGGCCCTGGGCTCCCTGGTTAATACTGCACTCAGCCATCGGGCTTCAGGACCAAGGGTGCTGTCTGTTTCACGCAGTAGGTGCTCGTGGCTGCTTCTTGAATGGAGAAAACCTTTGGGCAGAGTTTTCTTGAAACCATTTTGCCACCTCCCTCTCCCCCCAAACCTGCAGAGTCCCCTCAGAACGTGTCCGTCTTGGGCCTCCTTTCTTGGAAGTCAGAGGATCGAAATGAGTGGTCGCACTGTGGCCTCTCCTGCTTTTATTTTGCCAACTAGCCGTCATTCTCCCATGCCACCCACGCGGCCAGCCTCACACAGGGCCACAGACTCCCCAGGGTCCGGGCCCGGTTCAGTGCTCAGCCGGGGCTGTGCTGACATTCTTAATGACTTTCCTTTAGACTGTCATGTAAGTGGAATCTAGTGGGACAGGGGAGCATGTGTGGGGGACTCAGAGCCATAGTGATTCACAGTCCTGCTGCCCGGCCACCTCCTGCCTCCTGGGATGCGTTCTCAGCCACCTGTCTCCTGGTGTCCTGGCCCTGCCTGGCTTCCCCTGCCCTCCCCTTACTCTTGACCATCGCTGCCCTCTGGCCCTGGAGGACCATGGGATGTGTGTGCCTCGGGGTGGGTTGCATAGAGCAAGGGGTGGTGTGGCTGTCCCTGCCTGGGTGCCACAGCAGCATCTGGTCTGGAGACCGCTTTGCTACCAGGGAGACCTCTCACTCCACCCAGCCCCCGGATACCCGGCATGTCTCGATGCACAGGTGTAAGAGTGCTGGGGACCTCCTATCTACAGCAGGCCACTGGAAGGGGCGAGGCCTGACTCAGCCTCCCCAGATCCTGCCCTGCCTGGGGTCTGTGTTTGTGCGGTGGCTGGCGGGAAGGAAAGCTGGAGCCGGCAGCAGGCCGGCCCGTGTGTGCTGGTTGAAGGGTGGGGCTTCCTGGAGCCTCTGAGGGTGTGTCCTCGTGCTGGATGACCCCAGTGCTTCCTCTGCTGGCTCCCTGCCTGGGAATTTCCTGTCCCCGCCCCCCGCCCCACCGCCGCAAGCCTTCTGGCCCGTTTCTCTGCTTTTTGAGCAAGTGGCCTCACATTTCATCTGTGTGGAGGGTCTGGCACATGCAGCTGTGAGTCAGTGCAACTCAGAGAAGCCCGAGGACCCTTCCTGTTCTTGGGAACATCCCCGCTTCCTCCTCTTCCAGCTGTGAGCGTGGTGGGCTTGCAGGGGAGACAGGAAGCGAAGATGCTAAAGACAGAGCTCCGTGTGTAGCTGCTGAAATGCCAGACGTGTGACTTCCCACCAGGCTTCCCCGTCTGCAGGGCGTCACTGCCTCTGCCTCCCATCTGTGACAGGGCAGTAGTGACCAGTGCTAGGCACCTTTCTAGGTGGGTATCTTCTTTCCTGCTTTATGGAAGGCACTAGTGGTGCTTGGAGGTGAGCTGGGTGGAAACCCCCAGTGCAGGTATACAAGACACGAGAGTAGACCGGAATCAAGGGAGCGTTGTTTCCTCCTCGCTGAGACCTTCAAGTTAAAGGAGGCGAGGTTTATTTTGGCTCACACTTGGTGGAAATTTCAATCCATAGTTAGCTGGCTCCAAGGCAGGGCAGCATGGCAGAGGGGCGAAGGGTTGCTCAGGGCAGGGGGGTGGGAAACAGAGAAAGAAGGGAGGAGGAGAAAGGTGAACCCTTCCAGGCCGTGCCCCCAGTGACCCCCCTTCATCCCCCAACATTACATTTCACTGTAAACTCAGCAGTGGACCAGTCCACTGATGGGCACCACCCCCCTGTGACCCAATCACTTCCCACAGTTCCCACCTTTGAGCACTTGAAGCTTTGGGGGACATCAAGGCAGAAACCATAATAACTGCCTCCAAGGCTTTCATACTGAGTTGCTCGTGACCGTTTCCCAAACTGTTTCGGTCACAGGGGAATCCATCCTTGTTCTAATGGTCGGGCTACAAGGTCAGCATGCTTGGCTCTGCCCCAAGGGTGAGGCCTTCGGCCGGCTCTGCTTTATGGGCGCTGTACCATTTTGTCTGAAATTTGCTAAGTCCCCCCTATTATTATGTTATCCTTCTTTTATTCTTTAAAATAAAAAAAAAAAAAAAAAGAAGAAGGTTCTGGTCAGAGGTGTTGGGCAGAGGAAGGGGCTGGGCTGCGAGGAGGTGAGCACCTCGTCCCTGGGGATGGAAGAACGGTCTCCTCCCTCCCAGGGTGACGGGGACTCCTGAGTGTCTGGCAGCCACTGTGCTTCCGTGGTGTAGGTTTTGTATCTGCCTTCCTTACCTCGGGATGTTAAGATAGACGGCCTCAGTCAGAATGCTTTGAGGTCTGAGGAACTACAGACTTCACTGGTTCAAAATCCTCCTTCGGACTGCTAAGAAAAATAGTCCCTCGGCACATCATCCGGATGAGGCTTGTTCTTGCTGACCAGTTGCCCACGTTGGTGGGAGGACATCTAAGGGACCGTGGGGAGAGGCTCTTCCTAAATAGAACCCAATGAGTAAAGCAAACACAGCACTGTTGTCTGGAGCTTCCGCTAAGCATGGTTGAATTACCTGCTTGGGGTCCTGGGTGGGCACAGGTGGGACCCTAGGTCTGTCCCACTCTAAAGAGCGGGGCCTTCACACTACAGGAAGAGCCTCTGGAGGTCCCCAGCTGTGTCTGTTTCGGGGCTGACCTGTCAGGGAATGTGGGTGGGGAATGTGGAATAGGAGGGGGTGACAGAGAGCATGGCAAAATCTAGAGTATGGTTCCCTGTGGAGAGCCGAGGCAGTCCCGGCCAGCAGAGGGCCAGGCCTAGACGGCCAGAGTTGGGCTTTTCAGGCCATCATGGGAGTTGGATTTGTATGCGGCATTGGTTAGGTGGAATGGTGGCTCAGAAGGCTCCCAGGCTGTGAGTCAGGCCTTTGGAACTCAGGCCGGCCAGGCCTGGCTGTCTATCCTCCAACCCTGGGACCCCAAGAGTGTCACAATCGAGGAGAAGAGACAAGAACAGCTGTGTGAAAGCAGCTGCTGAGGGCACTGCCCCTCCTGCCTTGCTCCTCTGCCTCCTCAACTGCAAAGTGCTCACAGGCGGGAGGGCAGTGGTGTTACAGCTATACTGCACCTGTCCGGAGCAGCCAGAGGCTGGGAGGTACGGCAGGAAGAACATGGGCTTTCACCCAGGCCGGCCTGGGTTTGAATCCCGGCCCAGCTCATTCTGGTTGCATGCCTGTGAGCAAGTGGTGTCTTCCCTTCCAGGAAAGTCTCCCCGTTCTAAGTTGGAGGTCGGGGCGCCTGCTCTGCAGGGGTGGTGCTGAGCATGGTTCCTGCAAATAGCTGAGTGTGCTTCCTTTATCTTCTTCCCCGGTTTCTGGGAACTCATTCCGCTGTATTTCTCCTCCTGTCTGCTCTTTCAGGGAACACCTTCAGCACCCTGGCGGGACTGGTGTTTGACTGGACGATTGTGAAAGATGCGGAGGCAGATGGGTTCTCAGACTCCCACAATGCACTGCGGTAAGAGGCACCTCGATGAGGTCTGGCCAGTTTAGGGGGACCCGGGACAGGGGACATCACAGGTCTTTCGTGGGTGTCCGGGATGCTTTTTAGAAGCCTGTGACATTCCCAGTGACTGCAAGGAAAGGGTTTCCTCTCCCCCAGCTGTGCGGGCACCTGGCTATTTCTGATATGTTCTGTGGGAACTCAACAGAGAGGCTGGGACATCCAGCTGGGGATAGGAGATGACACAGAAGACACAGTACCATCTCATCTCAGGCCCAGGGGATGGATATGTGACCCCTCATGGGAGCCAGGTTAGAGGGAGGCAGGTTTCAGCTGGGAGGACGGCCAGCTGGGCTCCCCAGCATGGGGAGCAGATGGACACCTTGAGTGTCTTGACTTGTTCATCCCTGCTGCAGCAGGGTGGGGTGGACATAGCTCTCTCCTTTGCATTGTCCAACTGTCCGAACAGACTCGGAGAGGTCGAGCCATTGTCTGGAGTTGCTCAGTGACAGAACTGGAATTTGAACTCAGACCTGTGTAAATACGCACTGTCCAACATGGCAGCCATAACCCCATCTGGCTGTTTAAACATACATTTGACAAAGCGAAGAGTTTACTTCCTGATATACTGAACGGAGTAGAAGTGGAGCCTTTCTATAGCTGTGGTCCCTGGCCTGGGAGTACCCCAGGTCCAGGGTCTGAGCTGTTATTCTCTGCTACACTACATGGTCTTGTGCTTTGTTGAATAATTTTTTTAAGAATCACAATTTTTTTTAGGGGAAGGAGACTTAATTTATAAAAATTTTGCAACAATTTTACGCCTGCAGGAAATTCGCCAGTCTGGTACAAAAAGTAGTTTTTTTGCCTTGTTTGAGAGCCAGTTGACAACCTAGTGTCTCAACACCCTTTATTATTTTAATGTGAGTTTAGTGCCTTTAAGGACACTTTTCTGCATTTCTGCAGTAGAGTCATCAAAATTAGGAAATTGACACTGATACATGCAGTGTTCTGGTCTCAGTCAAGGTTTTCTAATTGTCCCAGTTTTGTCCTTTGTAACAACAGACGTCCCCACACACCTAGCCTGGAGTCACACACTCCGTGTGGGTCCATGGTGCTTGGTCTCCGTCTGCCTGGTCTTTCTTTGACTCTTGGCTTCCTGATACTCGTGAAGGTGACTGTCCACTTCTTCTGTCAAATGTCCCCTGTCCCCCATTCCCCACCCCCTGTCAGACTCACAGCTCTGTGTCCTGGGCAGGAATCATATGGACAGGACCTTCCATGTCCCTCCAGTCTCACTGTTCTTGTTGGCCCATGACAGATAATGGTCACTGGGGTCACTTGGGAGAGGTGGTGTCTGCCAGGAAGTCATTCCCCCCCCAATAAAGTGGCCTCCTCACCCTTCTGTGGTTGTTAATAAGGACTTTAGTGGGGTGTTAAGGGTCAAATCTTTGGTTTCCACCTTTAAAAGTCCAGCTCTGGGCCAAGGAGATAGTGGTGACATGGGGCACTGCCACCTGATTCTCTGTCGGGCTTTACGTGTGGCTGCATCCAGGGCAGGTGTCCTCGAACCCGGTGCTGCCTTTACCCTGTGGGCTGAGTTGCCTTCCTGGGCTGAGAACTCATTCATGGCTGGGACCCTTATCCTCCACCGGGCTTCTAGACTAGCTCTGAGGTTCGGATAGTCCCCCACATCTAGGAGCACGGGCCCTCGAGTCACAGGACCCGGCCTTCCAATCCTGGCCTTGTTGCGTGTGGCATTTGTCAAGGACCAGGACCCGGCTGAGTCTCAGCCCTCTCACCTGTAAGACGTAGGTAATCGCTGTGGGTGCCTCTGAGGGCCACCATGCAGGTTGGCAGGTGGCTGGGTGCCTGGACCACTCCTGGGGCCTGGCATATGCTAGAGATTTAGAGATTGTCCATTTCCTGCCAACTTTTGGGCCACCAGGCCTGTTTCCTGTCATGACACCTCCCCCTGCTCCAAGCTTTCAGGCAGCTCAGTGGGTGAGCTGAATATTAACAGAGAGCTGGAACACTGAGGCGCACTGGAACCGGGTTGTCCTGCATTTTCATCAAATGCAGCACGTGACACCTAACAGCTGGGTGGCGCAGTAAATCACAGGGTGGCACGCAGCACCAGGCAACCTGGGGAGAGTGGGTATATGCCTGGCAGATTGCTCTCCCTTGGACTCATTTGCAAATCACCGAATAAAGGGAGGGACCAGACAAAAGGGATCCCTGAGCCTGCCCTATGTGCCAGCCCCAGCTTTTCCCCTTTGGCTGGGGTTGTAGGCCTGATGCCTGGTCTCTGTGGGCCCCACTTTCCTGGTTTGGGGAGCCAGTTGTCTTCCAGTGAAGTGTTTATCATGTGTGGGTTTTGCTGCAGGTCAAGTCCCAGGCTTCTGACTCCAGCTGGATTGGGCTCAAGCATCTGCATTTTTCACAAGGCCCACGGCAATTCTGACGCAGTACTTTGCAGGGCCACGTTTCTAGGTGGCCCCGTGTGGAGAGGGGACCTCCACGCATTTCAACATCCAGCAGCCCATGAGGAGGTTCCCATAACGCAAAGGTCACGTTGGACTCTGAGGAATCTGACGTTCGGGTCTGACAACAGTTTCCTTTTCCAGAATCCTCACCTTCCTGGAGTCTACATACATCCCTCCTTCTTACATCTCAGAGATGGAGAAGGCAGCCAAGCAGGGGGACACTGTCCTGGTGTCTGGGATGAAGACCGGGAGCTCCAAGCTCAAGGCCCGCATCCAGGAGGCCGTCTACAAGGTGGGGTTGCAGGGCCCAAGCCTGCTCAGGCCTGCAGATGTGTTGGGTAGGGGAGCCGGCTCTGGGGCACAACATTCGTGTCTGTGTTGGTTGCCTTTATTAGAAGGGAAGGTGGGGGAGACTCCTGAGGTTCCTATCTCTGGGGTCACAGAGTAGGTGCTCAATCTCAGTTTTGAGGGACTTCCCAGAGTGTGATTCTCAGTAACTGTTCATTCTAGTGGGTGCCCCTCCCTGCCCCATGCAGTATAGAGACACTGAAACAGAACTCGGTGTCCCCCTCTGCTGTCCCCTCCTGCTGCACCCCTGCATGGTCACCCGGTGGGCTTATCTGTGGAGAGCTGCGTTCTCGCTCCTCCCTGGCTCACCCCATGTCCTCCCAGCCTCACCACAGGAGCTGGTGGTGGGAGAGATGTGTGTCGGACCCGGGACAGTAGGAAGCCAGGCACAGGCCTAACCCAGGTCCTGGTTTCTCCTGCATTCCTGAGCGACGACGTCCGCCCAGCCTGAGCTTCGTTTTGGACCACAGCCCTGAGATCCTCCTGTCATCTACCTGGTTCTGGAACACAGGCAGGCGTGTAGGGAACTTTGCCCACCATAGAATTTTTGCAAAGTGATGGGCAAAGAGCAGTCTTTTGCTGATCTATCTCTGTCTTTAATGGTTTAGCCAGTCACTGGGCGTCTTGTAGGGTTTTAGAAGCGTGGGACATGTGGTGTCACTGAGGCCTGTCCTTCAGGACTCTGCAGATGGTACCGGGAGGCAGTTTATCCATGTTGGGCTCCTAGGCCAGGGTGGAAGACAGACCAGACCCTCTGTCCTTCTGTGGTTAATAAGTGGGCTTCCCAGCCTGTGGGGCTAGGAAGCACCTGCCACAGAGCCTAGGCCCACAGGAAGGGCTTGCTGTCCTTGTAATGCACCAGAAGCACTGTTGAATTTAATGTTAATTGTGAAAACTTGAAAGCTGTCAAAACATACTCAAAGGAGACTCCACACATCAGACAGACACGCAAGCCGATGGGGGTGCCAAAGTGAATTTATAAAGAGATGCAATGCTGCCCAGTATCCGCAGGGTGATAACAGTTGCACCTCCACAGGGATGCCATCTTTGCATTTCTGCCCGTGAGAATCACTGGCTTTGCCTTTCATTTTCTGCAGCTCACTGGGCTATCAGTAGCTCCCAGATGGGAGGTACTGGTCCTTGTGGAATCTGATACCCTGGGGTTGCACTAGACAGGGCACCATGAGGTCTTCTGCCATCTCATGTTCCTCAGTGTTTCCTGAGGAGGACGTGGGATGAGCAGTGGGCAGGCGAGGGGCCAGGGACTCAGGGTAAGGACTCACTGGACACACAAAGCTTTTCCTTTTCAGTCGGCCTGGGCCTTCCCAGGCTCCCTGGATTTGTGGGGTGAGAACTAAGCTTTTGGTGGCCACAGTCCCCCCTCCCCCCCGCCCCGGCTCCTCTCTTTCTTTCTGTTTAGTTGCTGTTACTTAGATCAACGCACAATGCAGTGCCCGTAGATTTTTGGTAATTCCCACTGAGTGTGTGTCCACCATCCCTACGGCTTCCCCTGGGATCTCTGGGGCAGGAGACCGACTGGGGTTGTGACTGCCATCTTGTTTCTTCACCTTAACATTCCCTGAGGAGCATAGGGGGAAGTTAAAAACAAAACAGAATTGCCAGGACCAAGTGTGTAGCTCTGTGGCAGAGCGTTGCCCAGCCTGTGCCAGGCTCTGAGCTCATCCCCAGCACTGAAAACACAAAGTCTCTCCTACCCACCTCTTCCACACCCCTTCCCATGTCCACTTCATCTTTTCTGTTCTCTTCTAATGTTAAGAGCGTGCGCCCTGCCGAGGTCAGGCTGCTGATTCTGGAAAACATCCTCCTGAACCCAGCACACGACGTCTACCTGCTGGCGGGGACCTCCATTTACTACAAGGTGCAGAAGGTCAGGCAGGGGAAGATTACAGGTGGGTCCGCCCTGGGGATCTGGGGGAGCGCTGCTGTCTTTCTTAATTGTGATAAATACACCTACCAGAAAGTTGACCATCGTTGGGGCCAGGGATATAGCTCAGCGGCACAGCGCCTGCCTGGAAAGCGCAAGGTCCTGAGTTCGATTCCCGGTACCAAACAAACAAGAAAAGAAAGTTGACCATTATAACTGTTTCTCATACATAGCTCAGTGGCATTAAAACCTTCACGTTCTTTTCAGCCATCACCCCCGTGCATCTCCATAACTTCTCAACTCAAACTCTGTCCCCATGAAACGTGAAATCCTGTTCCCCAATGCCAGTCCCTGACAGCCGCCATCCTACTTCATGTCTCCATGAATTTGACTCCTCTAGGAACCCCATATAACGACAGTCATATGGCGTTTGTCCTTTTGTCCTTGGTTTATTTCATTCAGCCACCTGTCCTCAAGCCCCATCTGCGCGGAGATGTGCAGATTCCCTTTAAAGGTTGAACAGTATCCCACTGTATGGACGAGACCACATCTTGTTCAGCCACTCATCTGCTGGGGGACACGTGGGCCCACCTTTTGGCTCTTGTGGGTGGTACCACTGTGAACGTGGGTGTGCAGATACCTGAGTCCCTGCTTCCGATTCTTTTGGGTCTTTATCCCTTCAGTTTGAGCAGCTCAAGCCACAGGCGTCCCGTGGGTTTTGGCTCTGGTCTGCCGCTGACCACCGAGTGAACTGGAGCGAGCCCCCCATGCCCCCGGGCTCAGTTTCCTGTGCAAGCCTTTCCTGGAGGCCTTTCTGCCAGTCTTCAAGGGCAGCACGGGTTGACAGGAGTGGGGTTGTTCTGGAAATTCTAAAGCACTGAGAATATGAGGCCTGTTTAGAGGGTGAGTGTTCTTCATGGAGTGCAGGTCTCCCTAAGAATCATGACCCTTTTGTTCACACTTACACATGTGTGACACCAGAGTGTAGGGCACGAAGAGCCGCAGGTGCCGGAGCGTTGCATGCAGGTCTGTCCTCAAGAGCGCTTTGGACATACGCCCCAGCAGGTGACTTCGCTGAGGTGGCAGGGCTGCCCCACCTATGACGTGGGGTCCTTGTGGGGATGCGTGTAGATGCTTCAGCCTGTCAGCGACCTGAGCCCTTGTCCATGGATGGAGACCCGAGGGATGCCGCGTCATCTGCGTCCCTCTTGGCTGCTAGCAGCACATCAGGCTCATTGTTCGTGGGTGGCGGAGCACTCAGCCTCTCCTAAGGCTAAGGGTGCCTAGGACAGGCTGCCCTGCCTCTGTGTCCTCTCTGACAGGGGACCTAATTGAAGGGACGGGAGCTCCTGTTTCCTGGATGGCTGCCATGTGCTGGGTAGGCGCCATCTGCTCTCTGCTTGTGTTGAGTCAGAGAGTGAGGCTGTGTAGCAAGCCCCGCTTGGGTGTCCTGGTCAAAGCCACATGCTCACCCTAGACTCTAGAGAAGGAGGTTCCAGAAGGCTGGGGACCATCCAAGGTGAGGCTTTCTGTGGCTCAGAGGTAGAGCTCTGAAGACAGCAGCGTAGCATCCTCAGGAGCAGTGCGAGGAGGAAGGACGTTGAAAGGCCAGAAGGTTGCTGTGATCTGAGGTCAGGGGTGTGGAAAGGCTAGGCATGGCCAGCAATACTTCGCCATGACTGTGTACCTCCCAAAGGTCAGGCAACCTCTTGGTGTTGTGACTCAAGAACTTGAATGAGGTGGGTTTTACAAACACCCCACTTTATGGATGTGTAAAGGAAGGCGTGGAAAACCTGTGAGTCCCCAAGCTCTAGGGCCGGGGCTGGGTTGATCACAGAAAGAGCTCACCCTGCATTAGGCCAGGTGCTCCTGACCCAAAAGAACTGTACCTCTCAAGGGACCAAGAAACTGCGGGACTTGTTCAGTAATCTGTCATCAAAGTCAAAGAGCTGGAGTCCATGAAAGATATATCAGGGTAGGCAGGAAAGAAGTGAGTTGCCTTCATCCCCTCTATTGGGTAATGAGAGAGAGAATTCTTGCAAACTTAAGCACACCAGTGTGATTGGAAAGACAGCTGCCAGGGTCCTGGAGTGGCTTCCAGGTGGTGCCTGGGAACCCGAGGCCAGCCCCGCCCAGGTTCCTCAGCAGCTGGTGAGACACTGACAGCAATGCCCTCATTTTCCTTTGATGGGGTTTGAAAATTGAGATATAATTCACACCGCTGTCATGTTTAATAGGCGGGGGCTGACATCATCCCTGGAACCTGGCTTTCACAGGTCTCTCTTGCAGGGCCTCCGTGGGGAGCTCGGGGAATTCCAGGCAGGCGCTGGCCCATGGTCTTCTCCACGTGCCAGTTCCTACACCTCCAAGTTAATTCTGTGTTTTCTTTACTTTTGAGTTTCCTTTCTTAGAAATGTGATTGTTCTGTGTTCCTATTTTTATTTCCCCTAGGTCACCTTCCCTTCCCTTTATCTGCTTTTTAAAATGCATTTAGTGGACACCTACTGTGCGCCAGCACTTTGGTGGGTGCTGGGTGTCCCGAGGTCAGCCCAGTGTGGGAGGAAGACTGGGAAACCTTGGGCTTGGGAGCCCTCTCCACTGGGAGGCAGTGAGGAGGGGGCACCTGGAGTTTGGAGCCAGGGCAGCCCATGGGGGACACAGGACTCCAGCAGTTCTTGTCTTGACACTGCTGTGGTTTGTCCCCTGGGAGTTTGTTGCAGAATTGGCCCTTTGTGTGGGAAGCTGAGAGGTAGGGCCAAGGGGCCCAGCCTGGGAGGGATTGAGGCTCTTGGGGACCCTGAGTCTGACACCCCCGGCTTCTCTCTGCTTCCTGCCTGGCTATGTGATACCCCCATCCCATGCACCTGCTCCTGTCATTGTGATTGGCGTGAAGCCCTCATGGGAGCTCAACCGGTGCTAGGGCCATGCCCTTGGGTCTGCAGAAGGGAGCTAGAGAGACTCTGAAATTCTTTGCTTGCCCCCTCCTCCTTCTCCCTCCCCTCTCTTCCCCTCCCCTCCCCCCCCCTTTTTTTTTTTTTTTGAGGTGCTAGGTATGGAACCCAAAGCCTTGTTACATGCTGGGCAAGTGCTGTGCCTCTGAGCCGTCCCGTCCCATCCCGTCCCATCCCGTCCCGTCTCAGTCCCTTTTTCTCTCCGCTCTCCTTTCCCTGTCCCTCTCTTGCTCCTCTCTTGTTTTTGTTGTGGTACTGGGGGTTGAACCTAGGACCTTGAGACTGAAGTACATCCCCAGACTTTCCTTTATTTTTCATTTTGAGATGGGCGTCACCAAGTCACTAACTTGTCCAGGCTGGGCTCTTGCTATCTGGTCCTCCTAGTGCAGGGATTATAGCCCTCTTCTCTTTATAACATTAGACTGCCTCTGGTGTTTCATTGTGGTAGTGCAGATCAGACTGCCCTCCTCAATCCTGTTGGTATTGGGGTTGGTTACAGAAGTCAAATGTGGACAGGATGCGCTGGCTGATGGAATTGGTGTCTGAAAGAATTTGAATGGTGGAGGATGGTGGAGGGGATGGTGGAGGTTTGGACAACCAGCAACATGAAGGGTTGTAGACTGGGGCTTACGTGTCAAAGACTTGAGTGTGAAAGGGCTTAGGATCCCACGCACCCTTGCTCTGTGGCTGCTCCAACAGTGACTTGTGTACAGTGGCCCTTACAGGTGGTAGGCTCCACCTCATGAGAGGTTTGGAAGGACTCGGTCAGGGGAGCCCCTTGTTTTCACAGTGTTTGTGTCCCCCGGAGGGGATGGCCTGTGTGCAGAACTCTCACAGGGGGCAAATCTTGTGCCTTGGGAAGCTACAGCCAGTCACATTGCCTTTTTGAGCTGTGTGACTTTCTTGTGATGTTTGTTCACGATACGGTGCCACCATATTCTGGACAAGGTGCTCCAGCAGCCAGGGTCACCGCCGGGCCCCAGAGAGGAGAAAACGGGCCATGTGTGCGCTAAGGGACAAGCTGAGGGATTCTCAGTCCCAGCCTGCGTCGGGGTCGCCTTTGGGGCTCCTGTGAATGCAGAGCGTCAGCCCCACCCTACAGGTCTCAGGTGCCCAGAGGCCCAGGAACCACAACTGGAGAACCCTGTGATCTAAGGGCAGATTATTGGAGCAGAACAGTGACACTCCAGGACAGGAGAGGAGTGTGCCATTTCCCTTCCAGAATCCTGATCAGAATTGTTAATTTTGAAGGACGCCTTAGTTAAAATTCCTTCCAGAGCCTCAACCTGGGTGTTTTTCTTGCAGGGACCCCTTTCCCACATCTTCCCTGTCAGGAGGGCTGAACACGGCCACAGCCGAGGTGACAGTGAGCTGTGGCTGCTTAGGACGTTCTGAGGCCTCAGGAGAGGGAGTGTGAAGGCGGTCTGGGTCCTGGAGTGGGAGTCTCAGCTTGTCTTTTCACAGCCACAGGGCCTGTCTTCGTCTGCTTTCTGTTGTTGAAACAAAATCCCTGCAGCTGCTCACTTAGCAGGGTAAAGAGGTTTACCCTGGAGGCCCAGGAGCGTGGCCCTGGCTTCTGTTTGGCTTCACAGCTTCCTTGGCTGCATTGTGGCATCATGGTGCCAGTGTGTGTGAGAGGGCAAGATGGCCCGGTGCAACAGGAAGCCAAGAGGTTCAGGAGCCAGGCCTGCGGCTTTTCTAACAACCTACCCTCCCACTGACCTGACCCCTTCCTCCCACGGAGCTCCACCTCTTAAAGGGCCAGCACCCCTTATCCCTGCACAGTGAGGACTGGCTTCCAGGGCGCAAGCCACAGGAGACTGTGGGAAAGCTTAGCTTCGTTTCCTCCGCCCCTCAGCTCACAGGGTTGGGGTCTGTAGTTCTGTGCCCTGTTGTGGACGGACTACATAAGGGGATGAACTTGTGAGACTGGAGGCATCTTCATTCCCTGGTGAACAGATGCCATTTCTTTTCCTTTTTCTGCTTATCTTTCTATGTCTGTCCATCTATCCTTCCTTCCTCTTTCTGTCTTTTGTGCTGGGGATGGAACCCAGAGACTCACACATGCTGTACCCCTGAGCTGTACACCAGCCCTCACATTTGCATCAGAAGTGGTCTGTACTTGTGGGATAAGGGAAATGATGTCCTTCCCGGAACCCATTATTTCCTGGAAAATTGTCCATCCCGGCTCACGTCGGCTGAGTCTTTCCTCCATAAAATGCGTGCGACCCGACAGAGCAGGGATCGCTGAGCATAGAGTAGGATCTTTACCGTTGTAGACCCAGCTTCCAAATCCCTGCGGGAGGCCATGGACCTTTTTGGGAACCCAAGAGGGCAGACGGAACCTGGGGGATGAACCCCAGCCCCCTGGGTGCGGAAGCAAAGAGTTCTTCACTTCAGCGGTGACCAGAAATGGTCTAGTGTCAGCATTCTTCATGTAGTTGGCAATTTCAGGCAGAGGCTGTCGTCAAATTAAAAAAGAAGAAAGAAAGCAGCTTACGGCAGTGACAAAAAAACTGATTGCTTCTGAAAACTCATGGTGTGTCAGCTTTGTCCATGGGCATGGAGAATAATATTAAAATGTAAAGCACTGAGAAATTAAGTCAAAACTGTCGACAGCTGTACTGACAAGCAGGGTCCAGAGACTGGGGGCTGGGTGGGCAGTCGGCGCCTGACAGTCCATGTCTTCACTGCCTGTCTCCTTCTCTGTTTCTCATTTGCTTTTCCTGCTCAGAACTCTCGATGCCTTCTGATCAGTATGAGCTGCAGCTTCAGAACAGCATCCCTGGCCCGCAAGGAGACCCTGCCCAGCCTGTGGCGGTCCTGGCCCAGGACACATCGAGGGTGACCGCCTTGCAACTGGGACAGAGCAACCTCGTCCTCAGCCACCGGAGTATCCTCTTCCCAGGCAGTGTGTGTCTGCATCGCACGTCATGTCTGCTGCTTTGAAGTCAAGTTGTTTTTCTCTCCCTGAAAGCCAGCCGAGGATAAAAATAGCCCTGTTTTCCCCCAGCCGTCTGAAAATCAGAAAGAACTGAAATAGCAGCACCTCTGCGTGGAATTGCTCACCTCTGTGGGTGACTTGCTGGAGAGACACCTGGGAAGGGGCTGGTGGGGGGAGCCCTCTGTCCTCGCTGCCTATAGAGAGCGCTTCAGGGCCTGCAGACCCCTGGGAGGCCTGGTGGAAGCAGGTTCCACACTTCCACACGTGTTGTTGAGAGCTCAGGCTTATTTGTGTCCCATTTGACCTCAGGGGTCCCTTTTGGAGATTCTGCTGTGTTAGGGTAGAGAAACAGCGAGGCCTTCACCTGGGGAGAAGCTTTTGCTCCATTTGGCCTAGGCTGGGGCTGAGGGCAGGTTGCAGAGCGTCTTCTCTGCCATGTGATTATCCGGTCATTGAGCCAAGCTAGAGGCACCAGCTGGATTACTTGCGGTCTTGTGTTCTGTCCCTTAATCACAAACTCAGGTATCCGCATGCAGGGTGCTTCTAGGTTACCGAACAGCACCATCTACGTGGTTGAGCCTGGGTACCTGGGTGAGTATCCTGGGCCCTCTTGGGTGTTGCTCGGTTGTGACTACACAAATTCAATAAATTAAAAAGCCAAAACAATGGCGGGGATCATAGCTGTGTGGTAGAGCTCTCACCTACTATGCGAGAGGCCTTGGGTTAGATCCTCAGCACCAAACAAAACAGTAGACGAGAAAAACCAGCAGCTCTCGACCCTGACCATTTCTGCCACCTGTGAGGCTGCAGCCATCTGCCCTCAGTGGGCAGGTGGAGGCTGTGCAGAGCAGCACAGGACAAGAGGAGCAGCGGAGGAAGGAGAGGGGTCTGAGAAAGGAGGAGAGGAACACGCAGCAGTGACCACCCAGAGAGGCACGGCTGGGGCCCGGAAGCTGCTGTGACAGACAGCAGGTTGAGATGGGGCACCTGTGGCATCCAGAGTTACCATGGCAACCCTTCCTTTCTCAGAGGCCCACACTGAAGCTCTTCAGTTGAGAGAACCTAACGTGTAGCAAACTCCCTAGGTCCTCTTGTTCGCCAGCGTGTGAAGTAGCTATTTGGTGCAGACCTGAGTGACAACGCAGTGACACTGAGGAAGGTGGCCTTTGCATCTCAGGAGCTGCATTGGCTCAGAAATGTTCCTCAGTGCCTTCTGTGGGCCTGGGCTGGGCTGGGCACTGAGGTTCAGGGGCCGTAAGACAGGGTGCTAGACTTGGGTTCACAGGAAGAGACCAGCACATGAAGGGCGTGACAGAGCAGAGGTAGGGAGTTAGTAACATGAGCACAAGGGAAGATTTCCGGGAGGCCAGCATCATCTTGGATGGAGCTTCTGTTGTGGCCTCAGAGCCTAGACCTGCTGTGGCCTGGGCTAGGCCTGCTATGCCATGGCCTGAGAGCCCAGACTCACCTTGGGCTTAGAGTCTAGACCTGGGTGTGCCTCAGCCACTACACTGCTTAGGCCCCAGGCAAGGCATGTGCTTCTTGCAGTCATCTCAGAGTAGACCTTATTTTGCACAATCTAGACATTATTAGTGCTCAGGCTGGACCTGCTGTGGCCTGGGACTGTACTGGTCATGAGCAAGACCTGTTCTGGCCTCAGAGCCTACATCAGCCCTGACCCCAGCCTACACCTCCTTGGCCTCAGACCCTAAGCTTTCCATGGCTCCCTGTGAGATTTCGGAGTCTGGACCTGCCATGACCTCAGGCTTGAGTGCTTCAGTCTCACGGCCTAGACTGTCACTCCTTCATGTCCAGACCTGTCTGCCCCGAGAGCCCAGAGCTGCTTTGGCTTCAGCAAGAGCTTCCGTGGCCCCAGACAGGATACAGTCTCAGAGCCTCGATCGACTGTGGTCTCAGGCTCAACCTCTTATAGCTACCACATCTAGACTTCAGTAAGGTTCAGAGCCTTCATCTACTATGATCTCAGAGCCCAGACCCGCTTTAGCATACACATTTGTCCAGGTGACACCCGCCATGGCCTGAGAACCTAGACCTGCATGGCCTCCAGCTAGACCTGCTATCCCCTTAGAGCCTGGCTTGCTGACTTCGGGGCCTTGACCAGCCGTGGCTGCAAGGTAGAGCCACCAGGGCCTCCACCTGCACCTGCACCTGCACCTGCACCTGTACCTTGGTAGGATCTACCATGCCCTCAGGCTGGACCTTCTGGTGTGTCCCAGGCTGTACCTGCTGCAGCCTCAGAATCTACACTGCCATGAGCCCTGCCAGACCTGCTGTGGCCTGACAGCCTTGACCCGCTGAGTTCTGGATTCTGCTCCAAAGAGCCCTGTGCAGTCTGAGCGGGGTGCATTCACTGTGGTCCCTGGGAAATAGCTGAGGGCTCAGATCTAATGTAGCCCCTCTCATCAGCCAACCCTCCAAGTATGAGCCAGTGAATACCCAGGGTTTGACCTTCTCTCCCTCCTGCCTGTTTTTAGGGTTCACAGTCCACCCTGGTGACAGGTGGGTGCTCGAGACTGGCCGCCTGTACGTGATCACCATCGAAGTGTTTGACAAGTCCAGCAACAAGGTCCACCTGTCCGACGTGAGTGCTTGCTAGCGCCCTGGCAGACTGATGAAGCAGGGCCATCTTCTGGAGCAGCTGCCTAAAGAACAGCCCCAAAGCAACAGGGGTCCCCACGCGGGAAGACTGAGGAGGGATCTTTTGTTCTCTACGGACACTCCTCGGTCTGTGAGCCACTATCATGGGGCATCTCAGACCCTTTGAGCCTCTGAGTGGGTCTGCAGAGATGAAGGGCAGGGATGCCCCGGGCAGCAGCAGGAGAGAGGCCTCGGCCCTGTCCGCTTGTGCCCTGTGTTCTGAGCCCAGAGGTCTCGGAGCTGAGTCCATTGCCTTCCGGCTCCGCAGAAGGTCAGGAATACCTCCAGCCCTTCCAGAGCCCCTGGGTGACCGGGGCTGTTTCAGTTCTCAGTGTCATCAGAACATCTAGGACCTTTTTGGTAGAGCTGGAGGTTTTGTAAGGATGCCAGTTCCTTTTCTGGCTTCTTCGTTAATCGGAGCCTGGACTGTCACTATGTTACTTGAAGTTAACACTTAGGGATTTTTTTTTTTTTATGATTTGATGGTTCCTGGCTAAGACATCAGGGCTTAGGGAAGCTCACTGTAGGCTGTGAATTGCCCTGTGCACCACACAGCGGTCAGGAACTTGGGCAGTGTCATTGGCCCATGCAGAGAAGGGGGCTAGAGAAGGTCAGAGGCCGGGGTGGTCAGAGCACTGGGCCGGGGCTGCCTCCAGCCTCTTTGGTGGCTTTCGGAGACTCTGAGCCCCAGAGGGCCCTGTGGCCTGGCCTGGCTACCACCTTGGAGTCCTGGAGCTGCTTTCCTGAAGTTGCCCTTCCCTGAGTTCTCCCAGAAGCACCACTCACCCATGCTTTTTGCCTTCCAGAACATCCGGATTGAGGCCGAGCTTCCTGCTGAGTTCTTTGAGGTTCTCTCCTCATCCCAAAACGGGTCTCACCATCACGTCAGGGTGATACAGAGGGGCCAGACGACCATCCGTGCAGCCCTCACCTCTGTGGTGGACCAGGCAAGTTGGTGCCTCTTGCTTTCCATGCCAAGCTCCCCCGCTGTGCTGCTCTCCAGGTGCTGAGGAGGCCCCTCCCTCTCTGGGCTCAGACCCAGTTGCCCTCAGCTGGCCAGAGGCGGGTGGTATGGGTGTCTTCCTGTTCCGCCCTCACTCCCCCTCCCTGCCTCTGCGAAAGAGTCTGTGCCTTCCAGGACCAGGGATGGCACTCTTGTTCTGGGAGTTAGTGCTGGGCCCAGCTGGGGCCCAGTCTGGAACCACTGGAGTTCCTGCATCCGTTTTTTCTGCATAGGTCCTGCAGACTCTTTTTTTTCTTCTGTACTTAAAAGACCGACCAGTTTTAGGTAGGAACAGTGTTTTACCAATTGACACATTCCCCTCTTTCTACCCTGCACAAAACCTTTCCAGACCCGGAAGAGGCTGCAGCACAGGGCAGAAAAGGAGTGGCCCGTGTCCTGCAGTGCCTCAACCTGTGGCCCCTGAGAGTTGGAACAAAGAGTGCCAAGCTTGCATTTCCCCTTCTGTAAAGGGACAGCAAAGGCATCCCTAGCATGAGTGCCCTGAGGACTCTGCCCAGTAGCATTTACGTGAGTGGCCCTTATGGAACCTCAGACAGCTGTCCACAGGGAGCTCGAGGAGGCCACGGGCTGTCATCTTCTTTTCCTGACTCCCACCAGCACAGAATCTACTGATCCCCAGAGAGGGTCAAGGGGCTAGGAGGCTCAGCCGATGATCTGGTTGTCATGGTGACGTGCAACGCTCTCATCCCTTGTAGGATGGTGGGGTCCATGTGCTACAGGTGCCTGTGTGGAACCAGCAGGAGGTGGACATTCACATTCCCATCACCCTCTACCCCAGCATCTTGACGTTTCCTTGGCAACCAAAGACGGGCGCCTATCAGTACACAATCAAGGTACCTGGGACCTTATTGGTTGCCTTCCTTTGGGTGTTTTGAAGGAATTGTGGCTCTTAATCCATTCTGTCATTTCTAGCATCACCCTCTAGTGGACAGAGGCAATTTTAAATCAGAGCCTTTATGACTGCTGTGTTCTCTGAGATTTCCACCACAGCAATGTATATAGTTCATAGGGGGGAAAAGCCAATAACTGAAACAGAAAAGAAAGTATTACAGAGAAATCTGGAATAGATTTGTGTTCCACTTCATCATTTTTCTGAAAAAGTACCACTTTTAAAAGCTGTATAAATATATACTCAGAGAACAACGTGAAATTCAAAGGGAAAACATCTACAGCCATGTCACATGCTGAGTGTCACTGTTGATATTCATGTTCCCCTGTGGCCTCAGCCAGCAGGGACTGCCCTGAGATGGGACTGTGGGTCAGCAGAGACCCCATCACTCCTGTGGTCTGGGGACTGACAAGTATCCTGTGTGCACTGGCACCTGCCCCCTGGAACATAGGTCACGCTCTTGGCCTCTGCCGTGTGGGGTTGTGACCTGGGATGATTTGGAGCAGGCGGGCTGTGTGCCAGGAGGAGCTTGTGTGTGGTCACAGAAGCATCATTCTGCAGGTGGTGTGTATTGTGTGTGTCAGTCCCAGGACCTCAGAATAGGCAGACCAGAAGCCAGACAGACAAGAAGCAAGGGCCAAAGGGAGCCGCTGTGTGTGTGTGGATGTGTGAGCATATGTGAGTGTGAGTGGGTGAGTGCATGCGTGTCTGTGTATTGTGAGTTGTGAGGGTGACTGGTCTGAATGAATGCTGAGTGTGTGTTGGTTGGCTAGTGAGTGCGAATGTGTGTGAATGTGTGTCAGTACTTGAGTGTGTGAGCAAGGGTATGGGTGAGCGGGTCAGTGGGTGTGAGCATGTGGGTGTGCACGAATCGATGTTAGTGTGGGTGTGAGTAGGTGACACGAGTGGGTGGACATACCAGCTCATGTGAGAGGTGTGTGTATGTGAGTGTGCGTGTGCATGCTTGTCCCCTACCCTCACGCCTCCTCATGCATGGGAGGATAGAAGGCTGGTAGGTCCGTGGTGATTTTCCTTCCTAGGCTGATGGGGGCAGTGGGAACTTCACCTGGTCCTCCTCAAGCTCCATGGTGGCCACCGTCACCGTCAAGGGTGTGATGACCACGGGCAGTGACATCGGACTCAGTGTGATCCAGGCTCATGACGTCCAGAACCCACTACATTTCGGCGAGATGAAGGTGAGACACTGGGCCAGGACAGCCACTGGGGAGCTTAGAGGCGGGATGCCATTGCCTCCCACTTACCCCCCACCCCCTGTTGGGCACACGAAGGGGTGGGGCTTAGCCCCACCCTGCCCTTAGGAGCTCACAGCCGATCAGGGAGGGGGAGACAACGCCCTTAGGAGACAGTGACAGGACCACAGGGGCCAGCTACCTCAGAGCCAGGCATTCTGGAGAGAGACCAGAGAACGCAGAGGACAGAGGGCAACAAAGAGCCACTTCAGAGCGGGCCCCACACCCAAAAGAGATGAACCTCAGAGTGGGAGGGCCCTGAGGGATGGGTTGTAAATTTACAGAGAAGGTGATCCTGAGGCTCCCCATCCTGATGCTGGGCCCTGTCCCCCCATCAGAGGTAAAGTCAGGGCTTCTGATGACAGGTGCGGCCGATGGTACTGATGCTGGACGGTGTGGGGTTGTCTCACTGAGTGGTCAGAGCAGGTGGGGTTGTCACCTGCCGCTGAGTCCCGGCCACCACCACCTGACACTGTTCTGGGTGCCCCCTTATTGCCTCACTGATGGCAGAGGTAGAAGCCCCATGGGTCCAGTCACAGCACCTTTTATGTTTTTTGGGGCGTCGGGGTCTTTTAGATGCACACATCTCTACTAAAGAGGGGTCTGATTCTCACCCACACACATTTCACATAGGCCCTTTGGAGAAGCGCGACTGCCCAAGGCTGGGGTCCACCTTGCCCCAGCCCTTTTTTCCTCTTGGGAAATGTACCAGCTTTTACCCCTAGTATCACAGTTAGAACGTGGCTTCTGGGCCAGACTCGGGGTCCCACCTGGCTGCCCGGCTATTCTTGGGCTGTTGCGTCCACCCTTGAGCAGGGTCCTCAGCAGGAGAGTGAGGTGGTGATGGGCTGCCCACCTGCCGGGCAGGTGAGAGAGGGCCCAGGGGGAGTGCTGCTTTCAGAACAGAACCTGCAGTGTGTTGAGGTTGGTTTTCCAGAAGAACAAGCTGTTGTTGCCTCTCTGACTGTCCCCGGCCAAATGACCGATGCTCTCCTTGGCTGGACACTCGGAAACTATCTCAGCTTGAATCTGTCGCATGCCCACCACCACCATCTCTCTAGGACACCCCAACAAACCTACCTATCCCCACACACCAAGCTGCTGGTTGTGACCCAGAGGGGAGGTTGAGGGCACCCTCTCAAGTCTCCTGGCTCAGCCACCGTGAGCACTAGTGTCTGACGCTGGTCCCTGCCCCTCAGACCTCTATCCTCTCTGTGCCTAGAATACTTACCCCGGACTTCGCCTGGTGCCCTCTGACCTGGCTGTCAGATCTGATCTCCTAGGTCACCTTCTCTGACTTCTGGTTTCCTAACTACCCCCACCCCCAGCCCAGACCTCTCCTTAACATGTCCCAGCTACCCTGTCCACGGCAGCACTCAGACACCGCAGCACCCAGGCTTGCTCCTCTCTTGGAGGCTGATGGGCCTGGGCCACACCCTGTTCCTACAGGTATACGTGATCGAGCCCAGCAGCATGGAGTTCGCCCCGTGCCAGGTGGAGGCTCGAGTGGGCCAGGCCCTGGAGCTGCCCCTGAGGATCAGCGGCCTCATGCCTGGAGGGACAAGTGAGGTGGTCACCCTGAGCGACTGCTCCCACTTCGACTTGGCAGTGGAGGTGCAGAACCAGGGTGTGTTCCAGCCGCTCCCAGGTAAACCCTGCTGAGTGAGCCCCAGACAGGGGCACAGGGGCCAGATTGTCCATGTTTTCAGTGTGGGTCACCCAGGTTCCCAGAGGGGGCTTGGGGCACAGATGGGCCACAGCCCAAGGAGTGGCATTTGTCGCCTTGACCCCCTCAGCTTAGGTCTGGTCTGAATCTTGCCTGCTGTGTGACCTTTGGCAAATCACCCACAGCTCTGGGCCTCGGTCTGCACATGTGGTTGTGTTCCATCTGAGGAAGGGGCTATAATAGGTTCCTGCATAGACAAAGGCAACTCCTAGAAATGGAAGAAAATGTCTGCAAAGTGTTTGCCTGACACAGAAGGGAATAATGCTTAGAACAATAAAGACCTCATACATGTCCACCACAATAAAACAACACGAACGAGGCATACGGGGCTCCAGGGGACATTTCTCTAAACATGACGTATAAATGGCCAACAAGCCCATGAAAAGATGGCCAAAACTGCTAATTATCAGAGACACACAAAGGAAAATCACAATGAAAAACTATGTCTACTAGCAAAACACAGAAAAGAACCCTTGTTGGTGAGGATGCAGAGAAACTAAAACAGTTGTGCACTATTAGAATTATAAAAGGGGCAGACACTGTGAGAACAGTGTAGTGGTTTCTCAAAAAAATGAAAAGCCAGAATCATGTACCGTGTGATCCAGCAACCCCACTCCTGGGCTCATTCCCAGAGGTGTTGAAGCGCAGCCTTAAGGAAGTGTTTGGAAGCTTGTCTTCGCAGCCGCAGCTTCACAATTGCCACAAGGTGGAGGCAGCCCGCGTCTCCATCAGCAGATGAGCAGATTAACAAATGCAGTGCTTGTGTATCTAGACCATGGGATACTGGTCAGCCTTACTGAGCAAGGAAATTTGGACCTGCTACAACACCAGTAAACCTTGAGGCCATTATGCACAGTGAAATAAGCCCATCACCAATACTGTACAACTCCTCTTATATGAGGCATTAAGAGTGATCAGATTCAGGAGACAAGAAGTGGAATGCAGGGAGAGGCGGTCCAGGGACGGGGAGGTAGGAAGAATTGGCTAGTTATTGTCTGACGGGTTTAGAGTTTGGAAAGTGAAAAGACTTGTGTCGTAGATGGGGCCAATGGTCATACCACTGTGTGAATATGTAGTGTGCTGCTGAGCTGTACATGTAAAAAATTAAGGTCTGGGTGTTTTACCGAAGTTAAATAGGCTTTTAAACAATTGAAACTTGATGGACTATAATGGCAGGGATTTGGAGCACCTGCTAGAAGCAATATAAATTGCTGTCTTGAGGAAGATACTTCGTAAGAATGAATACAGCTACGCATAGACATGACCTGGACACGTCCTCCAAAAGGGGGGCTCTCAGATGCTCACATCAGTGCTGCATTACACACCCAAACTGAAAACAGCTCCCATGTCCCAGTTCCCTGGAGATTGCTGCCCATTCATTCAGCAGAACCACCATGCATATGTGGACGGAAGATGTGCGCTATACGAACAGTGAGGAACCTTCCAGACAGTATTGAGTCGGAGAAGCCAGACATAGAAGAGCCCGTGCTCAGTGACCCCATTGCATAAACTGTGGGAACAGCATGGTCAGGCTGTCCCAGGGGAAGTTAGGGAGGGCTTGGGGGTCAGGGGGCTCTGCCACAGCTTCTGGGAGTTGGCGATATTCTCCTCCTTGACCCAGGTCTTGAATGATGTGTGTGGAGAACACCATGCAGTGCACTTATGGTAGGTGTGCATTTCAGTGCAGAACTCATGATTGATTGTGTGTAGGGATTGGACCAGGCTCCTGTGCATGCTGGGCAAGCACCGTACAACTGAGCCACCCCGCCGATCCCCTAGGATTTCTAAGTCAGAACAGAATCCAGTTGCGTATGAAGCCCAGAGTGACAGTGGGCCTCTCCTCCCCTCAGGGCGGCTGCCACCCGGGTCTGGGCACTGTAGCGGTGTGAAGGTGAGAGCCGAGGCCCAGGGATCTACCACGCTCCTCGTGAGCTACACGCATGGCCACATCCACCTGAGTGCCAGGATCACCATCGCTGCCTACCTGCCCCTCAAGGTGAACCAAGGCCCTGCCCTCTGCCACCCTTTTCTGCTTCAGGTTCCTGGACATGAGGAGGGCATGACCCTCAGTCCCATAGGCTCCACCCCACAAGCCAGGGGAGGGTCCAGCCTGGCCCCAGCCCTGCCAGCCCCAGGAATGTGAGCCTTCTCTCCACTCCTTCCCCAGGCTGTGGATCCTTCCCCTGTTGCCGTAGTAACCCTGGGCTCCTCTAAAGAGATGCTGTTGGAAGGAGGTCCCCGACCCTGGGTCCTTGAGCCTTCCAAGTTTTTCCGCAATGTCACCTCTGAGGACATGGACAGCATCGGCATGGTTCTCCTGGAACCCCCTGCCTCCCGGAATTACCAGCAGCATCGGATCCTTGTGACCTGCCAGGCCTTCGGCGAGCAGGTGAGTGGGCAGCTGACCACAGCACTGCTTTCTTTAATCCTCAGAGGAAACCTGAGAATGCTGTTATTATCATACCCATTTTACAGCCAGGCAGACTAGGGCCAGGGGATTCAGGATGACCAAGTCAGCAGCAGGCAGGCAGAGTTAGCAGACGGGCTGAGTAGGGTGTAGCGGTTGCAATCCCCCCATCTCCAAAGACCCAGCATGTCAGGGTGGCTTCCCCTCTGGGGAATACAGAATCCTCCCCCACCAGACTGTGGGTTAGGGATTTGAGGTTGGGGTTTCAATGCCAGATGACCCCAGAGTCAAGTGTTATAAAGGGTTGCATGACCTGAGATCCCAGCTTGGTGCATCTTGGTATTTGAGTGTGTGCTAGAAAGCCTGATGTTTCTGCATGTGGAATCTTTTGTTTGCTTTTTTGTTTTGTTTTGTTTTAATGCTGAAAACCAAAACATGGGAGACAGCTGAATGAATGGAACCGGTTGCTTCTGTGAGCCCCTGCAGAGCGTGTCTAGCTGGGTGGGCGTGGAAGCTGGCTGACTGCTTCCCAGGTCCACGGCTCAGCTCCCGGGGCTCCCAAAGCAAGAGGAAACCGGAAGTCAGGAGGGCAGCGCCCACCTTGAGAGGAAGTGAGGAGTACCCAGGCATGTCTAATTGCAGAGAAGACAAAGTTAGCGAAAAGGCACATAGGCACACCACATGCTGTGGCCTTAGAACGTCGGCCACACTGAGACTGAACCATTGTGATCAGAAAAGTACACGGAGAAAAGGCCTACCGCCCGCTGGATCAGTTTGGAAAACCCATGAACTATGAACAACAGTAAATACGTAATAATCACCGTAGCAAGAATAAAGCTAGTGATGGGTTAAATTAGAGAAGTGTCATGTTCCAGCCTGACTGGGCCATCCCGGTCCCCCAGAGAGGGCCCCTTGAGGCTTCCCCACTCCCAGGCTCCAGGCTCCCTCCCTGGATGTTGGGGCAGAAGGAAAAGCAGATAAATCGGGTTGGGTTGGGAAGAGAGTGGGTCCGCTGGCCGGGTCTGCATTGTGCAGCAGGTATGTGTCATTGGGGCGGGAGCTAGACTTGGGGGCAGAGGTCCCAGCGCTAGCAGCAGCCACACTCTCTCCTCGCACCTTTCTTTCCCCCTCTGCAGCAGCCCTGAGCTCCTCTCAGAGCTGAGCCCCTGGGCCCTTCTAGGCTTTCTCCACAGACCCTTTTCCAACCCCTCCTGAGAATCTGGGTCCCCATCTGCAGGACGAATGTTCCCACAGATGCATCTGATTGTGATGACCCAAATCGGGTGGCCTCCTCATTTATGCACCCAGGAAGTGTGAGTCTGCTGATGCGGCCACAAGGTTTCCCTGGGGTCCTGGGAAAGTGGGAAGTGAGCCTCAGTTTACCTCTTTTCTTTGCTGTTTGCACGGGGCCCTGCCGTGCTGAGAAAGCGCTCTCCTACCACGTCCCTGGGCTTTGTCAGCCTCAGCATCACACCTACCCTACAGCAGAGAAAAGAGGCTCAGCTCAGAGGCCAGTGGGGACTCACACTCAGGCATCTGCTTTGTCCCTCTGTCTCCCCAGGTCATCGCCCTCTCAGTGGGGAACAAGCCCAGCGTCACCAACCCCTTTCCTGCGGTGGAGCCCACTGTGGTGAAGTTCATCTGTGCCCCACCGTCAAGGCTCACCCTCACACCCATCTATACCAGCCCCCAGCTGGACCTGTCCTGCCCGCTGCTGCAGCAGAACAAGCAGGTGGTGAGTGTGGGCAGCTCTGGGGAGGAAGGCCATGCCACCACCGACGGGGCAGCAGGACCTTGGTCACCAGCCAGCGTGACCCACGTCTGGAGTGTTGTGATGGCCCTGGCTCTGCACCGCACCACCTTGATCTCGCAGCCGGCCCTGCAGCCTTACCGGGAGGTCCAGGCCCCGGAGAGGCAGGTGACTCACCAAGGTGTAGCTGCCAAAGACAGCCTGCAACTTGCAGTGTGTGACATGACTTTTCCACTTCACAGTGGTGTGACAGTGATAGGCATCGGTGAGAAGCCACCCTTGGAATTTTGAGTTCAGATCTCATCCTGCACTGATGAGGTGGGGTCCGGTTGTGCCATCATGCTGGGCAGTGGCAGAGAGCTGCAGCCCCCCGTCCCACCCCTCAGCCACCAGAGAAACACCCGGTGCTCTGCCCGGTGCTGTGTTGTGTAGGTTACATGCCGCTTTCAACCCTTCAGTATGAAAGAGTTACTGGGCTCGGCCTGGTGCCAGGTTCTGAGCACATTTCAGGTGGGCCGGGCTGAGCCGTAATGCTCAGGAGGTCGGGAGTATGACCTGTGTTTTCAGCTTAGATGTGTCCCTTCTACGATGGGTTTATCATCCTAAATCCAAGAGCATCCTTCACGGTGGTATTGGGACACAGTCCTCTCCCGTTCCAGATTTCTGGCCCTCTCTGCTGGGCCCTTGGGAGCTGGTAAACTCTCTGGTGTCTTTTGTGAGCTGAGGCACTCATGGGGGGGGGGCAATTTGTGCACAAAGCGTGTGTGATCAGAGTTGGGGTGGGGACAGCTGAGGAGAGGTGACAGCGACAGCACTGTCCGAGGAGGGGGTGTGTTTCCATAGTGAATGTTGGAAGGGGACAAAGTCACTGGGATCAGGCTGATAGCACGGGTGGGATGCAAAACGCACGTACGATGCCCTGGAACTTGGGGCCCAGCTAATCCTCAGTCCTTGCATTCAGAGGCCAGGGTTGGAGGATGTCCAGCTCTGGGGTGTGGGACGACTCCAGGCTGCGCCAGCCCCCTGCCCCTTCTCAGAGGTGGGGACCAACTTTTCTCCATTCCACACGTCCTTGTGCCGCAGCCGCTCTGCACCAAGCAGCTCTGACTTCTGGAATACAGAGTGGCTGGGACGGCGAGGAGCCTGCCTGAGGAGCTGACAGGGAGACGGGCGGTCCGGAGATGGGAAGTGGCAGGGGCTACCAGGGAAGGGAGGCGGGTACAGGCGGTGGCAGGGGAGGCTGCTGCAGGAGCGGCTGGGCGGGGGAGAGGGGGCAGCCTAGCGGAGCCCCCCAGCAGGGAGATTCATGAGAGCAGAGGCCCGAGGACAGAGCAAGACAGACACAGTACCCAGAGCGGCTGTGTGTAGGAGCGTTCACCCTGCTGCCTCATTTCCCCTGCACCGTGACCATCTTGGAGACCCAGGTGCTGAGCACCTCCCCCACGGGCTTGCCCTGGGGCTCAGAGGCGAGCAGGCGGGGAGGATGGACACAGCTCTGACAGCTCCTCAGGGTGACCCTTGGGCCTTGGGTTTTGCTGCAGCACTGGGGGTGGAACCCGTTCCCCTCTGGGCTCCGTGGCTCCCGCACACAGGACTGAGCGGGTCCCAGACCTCCTGGGCGTGGGCAGGGAGCTGTGGGATTGGGTCCCCAGTGGGTGAGTAAGGACAGCTTTGTCTTTCTTCCAAACATGTGTCTTTGAGGCTTGGCGTGCTCTGGGGCTTGGGAAGAAGCCAGCCTCCTGATTGCCTGCTGGAGTTTCAGCTCCGCTCTTCCTTCCCTGCCCTGACATAGACCAGTGCTCTCCAATTTTCCAGATCCCTTGGATCCAAAACGTGAAACCCCCAGCTTGGCGCCTGAGCCCCTCCATTCGCCCCCATCCCGGTCCCATCAGGGTCCCTTAACAATGAGAACTCTTGGTGTCCAGCTTCCGGCGGGGACAGCGCAGGACTTGCACCCCTGTTCCCTCTTTATAGAGGAATAGAACCCAGGCCCAGCACCTGAGCCGTGAGGAACTGGCAGCCAGCCCTGGCTCAGGCCCGGGTGTTTGCGGTGCGGAATGAAGGAACATTTTTAGCCTCAGATGAGTGTGTGAGGAAAGGCTTTCCTTTCCAGACATAAGGCTCTAATGTGGTGAGAGTCTTGCATAACTTCCATTTTTAATGTCTTAATTTTTTTTACTGACGTGTAATAATTATATGGAGTCGTGGGCTGCGGTGTGAGATTAATTCAGTACTTGTCTACAGTTGTAACAATGGAATTCAGAAATGAGTATTTCACCTCTCCTTAAGCACTTAGCATTTCTTTGTCTCGGAGCGGTGCATCCGTCTCTCGCAGGTCTCCTTGTTGCGAATGCCAGTCGCCCTGTAGGGCAGAACTGTCTGTCTATCTCAGTGCCTCCTGTCCACCCTCTCCCTATCCCTCCCCGCTTTCCAACCTCCTGGGACCTCTGTCCTTCTGTCTTTCTGTGAAGTGGACTATTTTATCTTCCACGGGTGAGAGCATGCAGTGTTCATCTTCCCATGTTCTGCTTATCCGAAGGCTTTGCATTTTAATTCACTTTTCCATAAAGAGCAAACTCTCCTCAGGGGAAGGATAAAATCTCGTTCAGTCTTGACCCTTTGGGAACACTGAGCTTGCTGGCTTCCCCTGGCTGAGGGCAGCTGCGGTCCATGAGACAGCCCCTGGGGCGGGCCACAGTCAGGATCCCGGCCTGCATCCAATCCAGTTGGCTGTGGGACCCCCTTTGAGTGACGGTGATGGTGACAGATGACCTGGAGTTGTTGCAGGGGACAGGTGTGACCAGGACAGAGTGTCAACCATTACATTTTTTATCTTGTTCTCTGCTCAAAACCTGGCTGCCACCTGGGGCTCCCCACTCGTCCCATGGAAGGCTGAAGCCTCGTCTGTAGCCCGCAGGCTCTGTGTCCCAGCCTCTGGGCCTCTCTGCGTCCTGCTGTGCTCTGCCTGTTCCTGGATCATGCCACGCAGGTCTTGCTGGAGCTGGGGCTGGCTGCTCCCTGGGAGTTGTGTGGCCCCTGTTCCCTGGCCCCATGCTGCCTCCCTGACTCCTTTTTCCTTCTCCCTTCTTGGTGGAGCCCTCTGCCACCTTTGCCTCGCTACAGGTCCCCCACCGCTCAACGTGCCCTGTGCTGGCTCCCTCTTCCCACCCTGAGCGTTCTCTGTGACCTAAGCTGCAGGACCTGCTTACCTGCCCTGCTCCCTGCAGGTCCCCAGACCCTCGCTAGGAACCCCGAGGGCGCACTGTGTCTGTCTCTCTTGTCAGCTGCCTTGCCTCAGCAGGCTCCGGTGCCTGGAAAAGCCAGGAGGGGACACTGCTGCAGGAAGGGGCTGCCCGTGGGTGGCGCTGGCTGGGAGAGCAGGTGCCCCTCAGAACAGGAAGTTGGTGCTGCTCAGTGACAGCAGGAAGAAAGCCTAATGAGAGCTGCGTCTTCTCTGTCCTAGCGGGCCATGTTCCAGCTGGGTTTTGCCTGCGCTGTCTGCCAGCCAGACCTCTGGTTTAGCCTATGGTCGCCTCTCTGAGCCTTGAAGGTGATGGTCTGGCTGCGGAGCTCTCAGTGGGCTCGGTGTGTCTTTGGTGTCAGCAGGAAATAATGGCTCCAGGACAAGGAGCTGCTGTGTGACCCATTAGTCCTCGGGCTCCCCAGCCGTGAGCCAGCCATTCAGGCATGGCCCCTGTGATTTACGGTCTCATTAGGGGACCTTGGGGAAGATATATCCCTGCCGCGCGTCACAGGTACAGGATCAATTTAATTTTACAGCTGTCCAAATCCAGAGGCTACTCAAGACGTATCTGCAGAGTAAATTATTGGCGAGGTGAGACTCCAGGATGGGGTTGACTGGTGAGGATGACAGAGTGGCACTCCAGCCTTTTCTGGTCCTCCAGGCAGGTCGTCCAACATTTGAGGTGCTCTGGATGGGTACCTGTCATGTGCCAGGGGACAGAGCAGCCAGTGCCCACCTTGGGCACCAAAGAGAAGCTGCAGTGTCAAGCGAGGACCTCAAGTTTTGCAGTTAGACTTCTAAGTCCTACCTTGAGACCTGAGTGACCTTGAGCAAGATGTTGACTCCCCTGAGCCTCACCCTGCTCATTTATAAAATGGGGCTAATAACTTCGCCTCCAACAGCCATTCCTGGAAGGTCCAGCCAGCTTGGAGTGCACTTGGTGCAGTGTTGACGTCCTTCCCTGGAAGAGCATTGCTTTTCTACCCAGGGTGGTGTCTGGAAGAAGAAGAGGTGGGGGGTGTGCGACAGGCCCTGCTGCCTCTGTCCACACTCACAGCTCCCCAGCTCGTGCCTTGGGGGCTCACAAAGCTCTTGGTGTGTGTGGAGATGGCGCTGAGCTGCTGTCAGGAAGGCTGCCTTTGGGATTTGGAGCATGCTGGGCAGAGGGGTTCTGGGGCGCAAGGGAGCTCGAGGGGTGGGGAGACACCCTCAGAGATGGGAAGCCAGGTGGCTGTGTCCATCAGGATGGGACCGGCCATGCTGTGGTAACAAACAGCCCTCCCCCAGCCAAGTGGCTGAGGACAACACAAGCTCGTCTCTCACTCATGTACCTCTGTGCGTCTCAAGTTGGCCCTGGGGCCCAGCTGTGTGTCACTGTTATCTTTGTTCCAAACCAAGGCTGTAGAGTGGCCACTGAGGAGAGAAACAGCACAGCAGACGATGTTCTGGCATTAACGCTTCCCCCTGGGGTTGTCACAGGTCCTTTGTCATAGGTACTGGCCAGAATCACTGACACAGTCTCCCCAAGGTCAGAGAGGACAGTCGCCCCGTTAGAACTGCTCCTCGACAGTCTGGCCACTTTGTGAAGGGTGCTCATGGCGGCCCCATTCCGCTACTTACATGGTGATTTTGATGCACTGAGGTGTGCATGTGCGTGGAGAGTGGCAAGAGGTGGGAATGGTGGGCACAGAAGGGGGCGAGCGGCCTGGCTGGGGTGGGAGTGCCCACCTTGGTGCTAGTCCTCTTGTGTGGGGCCGCCCTGTGCATGGCAGGGTATCGAGCAGCCTCACTGATCTCGTCTTCTAAATGCCAGTTGCACTGCCCGCTCCCTGGATGTGGCACAAAATTGCTCCAGACTTTGCCAGAGGCTCTCGTGCTACTCAGAACCGAGGCCTGGAATCAGAGTCTGGGTGGGGCAGCCTTGGTGTCCTGGGTGCACCTAGAGGGAAGATTGGTTTGGGACGCATCTCCCCTCCCTCACCAAGGCCCACTGATTGAGCCCTGGCTCTGGTCCCAGCCTCTCACCTTGGCCTTTTGTAGGTTCCGGTCTCCAGCCACCGCAACCCCCTGCTGGACCTGGCTGCCTATGACCATCAGGGCCGGCAGTTTGACAACTTCAGCTCTCTGAGTATCCAGTGGGAGTCTGCTCGACCATCGCTGGCCAGCATCGAGCAGGACCTGCCACTGCAGCTGGTGTTCCAGGACGATGGGAGCGGTCAGAAGAAGTTACATGGTGCGCCGGGGTCTCAATCCTCAAAACCTGGGGCAGGAAGAGGGGAGACCAGTACAGCCCCAGACAGACACCAGTTTGTCCCAAGGCAGGCAGTTCCTGTCAGAGCCCCAGCTACCCGGCCTCGCCTTCACCAGAAGGGGAGATGAGCCACAACTCGTGGCAGCGTGAGCTTGCTGTGCAACTTCCACCTTGCATCGTGTGAGGTCCAGACCCAGAAAAGGAAGTCTGCATCCCTGGGCTATAGAGCAGATCCAACCCGGCTCCTAGCCCTGTGCCTTCTTAGCCAGAAGCTGCTGTCGCCCCCACTCAGCTCAGCAACTCCTTGGCATTGCTCACCCTGATAACTTTATGGGGTTAATATATGGGCATCGATTTTCAGACAAAACTTCAGATCAATGCCTGGGGCGGGATGTAGCTTCAGAGGCAGCCCCGAGGCCAACATCCAATAATGGTTCCCCTTCCTGGACTCAGGTTTGCAGGCGATTTCAGTACACAAGGCATCGGGAGTGACGGCCATCTCTGCCATGGCAACTGGCTACCAGCAGCCCCACCTCATCGCGGCCAGAGCAGAGCAACCGGTATCTCCCGGGGCCACCAGCGGGGAGAGCTGTGGGCAAGGTCGGGATGTCCCCGCTTCTGCCGGACTCCTGTCCGGTGCCTGAGGTCCTGAGCTCCGCCCTGGGCCATAGCCTCGTTCCCTGACCCTGCTGTGTGATCTGGGTCTGACTCCCTGGGTGGCTGTCTCCCCAAGTGCACATATGCTCCTTTCGGGCTCCTGGAGAGATCCAGGGAAAAGTCCGGCTGAGCCCCTCACCTCGGCCTGGGTGGCCCTCAGTCCTCTGAGGCCTGGGCTCGGAGTAGCTGCTCCTGCTCCAGGTCTCTGAGCCCCAGTGCCCTGGGCTCTGCACACATACTCAGCATTGATCCTGTCTGTATGCACGATCTCTACCTACAGGAGGCCCCTCCCACCCTGGCGTCTCTTAAAGGCCCCAGGCAGAGGTGCTGCTAGTGGGGAACACGTGGGTATATTTGAGGTCAGAGTGGAAAGGGTTCCCCAAGGGTCCTCTGCTGTCCGGGAGGCCCCCAGTAAGCTTTATTGGAATAAACTGGAAGCGGCAGATGCTGGCTGCAAAGCGAAGGTGCAGCTGCCGTACACACAGAGGACAGGGGCCTGGGCACACAGCCTGAGGCCCTGAGGGTTGGGGTGCCTGTGTGAATTGCCCAAAAGGAGGCCATGGGGCTGACATCTAAGTGGCACTGTTGCTAATCATCTCCCCTGTGTATAGAGGAGAAAGTGGCGACTTGTTTCACCTAGACAGGGCTCAGGGAGGCCTTGGCGGGGGGGCTGTTCCCTGGGCTCAGGAACACTGCGGTTTTACTGGGGTTGGTGTCTGGGACATAGCAGGTGGCCTGCAGTGAGGGGGTGGCCTGGTGCGGCTGTGGTTTTGTATATCTGATGGCATTGACCTTGCCCTGACAGCGTGACCCCTTTCTGCTTGTGTCGGCCTCCATCGACCTCATTCTGGTGGAGGATGTGTGGGTGAGCCCAGGGGAGGTGACCATCTACAACCATCCTGGCATCCAGGTACGGCCCTGTGCCCTCCCCTCCCCTTCCTGGGCAAGGTTCACTGGTGGGGGACCCTGGCCTGGCCACACGTGATTTTCCTGCGCGGGCATCTCCCCTTCCAGGCAGAACTCCACGTCAGGGAAGGCTCTGGCTACTTCTTCCTCAACACCAGCGCCACAGACATCGTCAGCGTGGCCTACCAGGAGGCCAGGGGCGTCACCACGGTGAGTGTGGGCCATCGAGCCCCTGGATGCCAGGATGCGTCCGGGCTTCGGCTGTTCCTCTGGGCTGTGCTGTGGGGTTAATAGATGATTTAAAAGCTGGTGCTAAATCCCATCAACTGCATCATTAGCAAGGTCTTCAGACTGTCTGATTCGTTCTGAAAGTCTTATCACTTCCCTGTCACCTTTGTGACTTCTGTTCCATATCCACCAATTAGCCACACGATTAGTTACCTAACAGTCTCCTTTTAATCACTCTTTTCATTATGATTAAAATATTATTATGTAAGCAGCATTAAACTATAAAGGAATTTCTGTCTCAAAGATGTACCTGCCTTTTGTACTTCTCCAGGTTTCTTACTTGACCCTGTCCCTATGCTGCTAATAGGGACTTGGCAGGACTCAGGGTGTGGGAAAATTTAGTCTTCTGGTTATTATTATCTTTTAGTCTTGTTGCCCCTAAGTGGTGCCTCCGCACATGGCTGTGTCGGCTGCGGATTATCATCAGTCACTTTTACTTAGCCATTCTCTTCCTGTAGAGTTTTTATTTGGGTTGTTTAAAGCTTTAGGTTCCTTAAAAAAAAAATATAGCCAAGCACAGAATAAAAAGTGAAAATAAACAAAAGAAAACCCAGAATCTCAGATGTCCATATCTCTACTGCGATGGGTTATTATGTGGTCATGAAAACTGAGCCTTGTTTAAAAGGAAACGCTCCTACTGAATCGTGGAAGTCATAAACATAAGGCAGCCCAAAACAAAGACAACAGTGATACCCACAATAATGATAATCCACAACAGAGTCTTCCAGGCACAGCTCGGCTGTGGCCTTTGGGCTGTTCTGAGCCCAAGATCTGCTTTCCCTTTGCTGAGAGGGGCAGTTGTCCCTGTTCAAGGAGTGTCACATAGTGCTGTCAGCAGGCGGGCTTTTCCCCAGCTTCACAAGAAGCAATTGGTGATGTTTAGCTTCTGGCGGGACTTTAGCTCGTGCAGTTCATGGGGATGGGCGGGCTCCTCCCCGAAGGGGACTGTCCTGCAGACCCTGGGCCTTGCCTCCCACATACCTGAGAACCCTCGTCAGCTATCAGCAACGTGAATGGAGCTTGCTGTCCCAGGGAAAGCTGTCATGGGCATCCATCTCTGCAGTGACCTTGTCCCAGAACCTGTTCAGAAACAGCCGGGCACCTACACACAGAGTTCATGGCATTGCCTCACTCCGTGCAGACGGTTTTGGCAGTAACTCCCTGTATTTTCTGTTCTCTGGCTTCTTATTTCTAATGAGCAGCTTAAAATAGGGGTCACAAAAGGCATTGCCCCTGGGTTGGGGCAGGTGTGAAGTGAGAAAGAGACAAGAGTGGGGTGCGAGGAATGGACTTGGATGTGCAAGTGGATCGGAGCCCTACCGTTGGTGCAGGGGATGGGGAAGTGGGGCACGGGGAAGACCGGGGTGCGGGGCCACGTGTAAGGGGCAACTGCTCTGCTCCTCTGACTGATTCCTGTTGTGTTTGATGGCATCTTCGCTGAGGTGTGAGTCATGTGCCTGTGCCTTACACTTCGCCAATTTCAAGTGTGTAATTCAGGGGTTTTAGAAGATTCAGACACCTGCAACCAATACCATGCTCTTTCAGAGAATTTTCATTGTCTCAAGAAGAAACCTGTACGTTTTAGCTTTCACTGTGTTATTCTTACACACACACACATACACACACACACACACACACACACACACACCGTCCCAGCTTTAAGTTACCACTAATCTACTTTTTGGCTCTATAAATTTCCCTCCTCTGAACATTTTATATAAATGGAATCAGACAATATGTGGTCTTCTGCAACTGGCTTCTTTCACTTTGTCTAATGTTTGCAAGGCTCATCTGCACTATGGTCCTTTTTATGCCCAAATCACAAGCCACTGCATGGATGTGCTGCGTTCTGTGTGTCTGTTCATCCATTTGTGGCTATTTTGATGATCATGAATAATGAACATTTGTGTACACATTTGCTCATGGACGTATGTTCTGAATTCTGCTGGGTGTATGCCCAGGAGTGGAACTGCTGAGTCATATGGTAACTCTATATTTATTTAACTTTTGGAGTAACTACCAAAGTGGATTCCCAAAGGACCACACCATTCCAAAGTCCTCCCTGCTGTGAAAGGGTTCTGATTTTTCCACATCCTGTCAACACCTGTAATTATCAGACATTTAAATTCCAATGTAAGTGGTTTCTCCTCCCGGCATTGACTTACATTTCTCTATCTGCTAATGATGTTGAGCATCCTTTTGTGTGATTGTTGCTATTTATATGTCTTCTTAGGACAAGTGTCTGTTTGGATCCTTTGCCCACTTTTTGTCTTTGTATTGAGTTATAGAACTTTTTGTGGGGGCCGGTTTTCCAGTACCGGGAATCAAACTCAAGACCTTGCGTTTACCAGGCAGGCGCTGTGCCGCTGAGCTAAATCCCCAGCCCCAAGTTATAGAACTTTATATTCTAGATATATTTTATCCTTTATCACATGTGATTTGTATATATTTTTTCCATTCTTTAGTTGTCTTTTTACTGTCTTGGTGACATTATTTCAGGCTCACAGGTCTTTAATTTTGTGAAGTACGATCAACTTCTTGTTCTGTTGTTGCTCCTGTGTTTGATACCATGTCTAAGAATCCATTGCAAATCTGAGATCATGCAGACTGTTTTCTTCAAAGAGTTTTAAAATTCTGGCTCTTAATTTTCAGTCTTTGGTATGTTGGTGTGACTTTTGCTTGTGGTGTAAAGTAGGAGCCCGCTCTCATCCCACTTTATGTGGGTATCCAGTTATCCAGCACCATTTGCTGAAGAGACTACCCTTTGTGTGTTGAGTTATCTTGGTTGGCACCCTTGGCAAAGAGCAGTTGACTGGAGATGCATGGGCTTAGTTTTGAGTCTCTCAACCCTATTCCACTGATGTGCACGTCTGTCCTTGTGTCAGAACCAGACCGTCTCAAGCCCCATTGCTTTGTAGTGAGTCTGGAAATTGGGAAGTGTGAATTGTTCAACTTTGTTCTTCTCTGCAAGGTTGTTTTGACTATGCTGAGTTCCTCCAAGTCCGTACAAATTCTTGAGTTAATGCACCAGTTTCTGCAAGTAAGCGGGCTAGAATTCAGACAGGCATTGCCCTGGCACCTTAACCAAGCAGTGTTCCATTCACGAGCATGAGGTATTGTCCTATCACTCAGTCTTCTTTGACATCTTTCTGCAATGTCTTATAATTTTTACAGAATGAGTTTTGCACTTCTTTTGTTAAATATATTTCTAAGAGTATTTTTTTCATTGCTATTTTGACTGAGTTCTGTTCTTAGTTCAATTTTCATGATAAGTATCTAGCTATATGCTTCACTCATATGATTTATTTTTGTATGTTGATCTTGTGTCCTACAACCTTGCTGAACTCTTGTGAACTCTTCTCTTTTTAATGGGTTCCTAGGGTTTTTTTTATATAGGATCCTGTTATCTGTGAATATAGATAATTTTACTTTGCCCTTTCCTATTTGGATATTATTTCTTTTCTTTCCTGATTGTCCTAGCTATAGTCTCTAGCACAGTGTTGCTCCCAATCTTAGGGAGAAAGCATGCAGTCTCACCATAAGCATGCTGTGGGTATTTCATAGCTGCCCCTTATCAAGTGGAGTAAGTCCTATCTATTGCTATTAGCTTGTAGCTTTTGTTATGGAAAGGTCTTGGATTTTGTCAGATGCCTTGTCTGTGTCTCTTCAAATGATCATATGGGTCTTTATGATTTTGTTGATAATGATGTTCTATGTTAATTGATACTCAGATAGTAAATCAACATTATATTCCCAGAGTAAATCCTGCTTGGTCATGATATGTAATTCTTTTAATATGTAGTTGGATTTAGTTTAGTAGTATTTTGTTTAGCAAAATACTAATGAAATATATTAGTCTGTCATTTTCTTGTGATATGTTTGTCTGGTTTGGGTGTCAGAGTGATATTGACTTAAAATGAGTTGCAAATGTTCCTTCTATTTTAGGAAGAGCTGTGTAGAATTGATAACAGTTATTCTTAAATATTTGGTACAATTCCCCAGTAAATTTATATGGACATGAGATTGGCTTTATGGAGAGTTTTTGAATATTAAATCAGTTTCTTTACTTTCCGGAGGTCTATTCAAATTGTCTTTTTTTAGTAAGTTTTGGTGGCTTATGTCATTCTAGGAGTTGGTTCATTTCATCTAAATTATTTAATGTATTGATCAGTATAAATTATTCTCAGTATTCCTTTGTCGTTGTTATTTCTGTCAGTTTGTGAGTGGTTTCCCCTGTCTCCTTACAGATTCCAGTACTGTGAGCCATCTCCGCTACTGGTCAGTCTAACTAAAGAGTTGTTATTTTGCTAAATTTTTCCAAGGAGCAGCTTTTGGTGTGATGGATTTTTCTCCACTGTTTTTCTGTTTTCTCTTCACTTTGGCTCTAGTCACCATTTCGTTCTTCCGTTTGTTTGTTTGTTTGTTTTATTCTGTCTGTTTATGTTTACTTGTTCTTCTTACTCCAGTTTCTGGAGATGAACAGTTACAGTGTTGATTTGTGATTTTTTTTTTTTTTTTTTTTTTTTTTTTTTTTTTTT